GTTCCCCACCCCTGATTCATAGCATAAATCCGAAGTGTGGCCTAACCTTTTAAATGATAAAAACCGCAGAGTGCTTTCCTTCTGAGGCTGACTATTTTAAATTGCGAAGCGACACTGGATCTTAGCCAAAAGGCCGAGAATACACAGGCCCTGATAGCTGCAGGTTATGAGACAGCTAGAGCAATAATCCGCCAACGAATTTGGGATGTGGAACTGCAATGCCACGTGAGCGAGATGAATAAACACCCAGCAATAAAAGATAATGGGGGAGGATTTACCCCAGCAAATTACCGGGTATTTGTCAAAACTACAAATACAGACGGTCATTTACCCTCGCTAGATTCAACGTGCTGCCACCTGCCTTATTGCGGGGCAGATTCGAGGGTAAACCATACACGGAATGAGTTTGCCCCTGTGGCTTGATGGAGGTAGAAACTGTCTCTCATGTCTTATTATGCTGCCATTTCTACGGGGATATACGCTCGGTATTTATCACTCCTGTTATACAAAAATCTCCAAATGGGTCTGAACTTCAATGTCTAAAACTCCTGGTAGAGGACAAGGATCTAGAGATTACGCTAAGGGTGGCCAAATTCTGTGCAACTGCCATAAAACTTAGGGAACAAGCTGTGCTACCAAAATGATTAAGGTTTTAAATGATAATTTTAGGTTATATTTTAGTGATCAAGATTTAATATATTTTTTTAACTGCCGCTATATCTGAATTGTCTCTGTTATACCCAATTGCAATTCAATGTATCCCTGTTGTGTTTTATAATTTTCCTGATATTGTAATTGACCTGGAACTGGTCTGTGACCGTAACAATAAAATTCTAATTCTAATTCTGAGAAGCGACACAAGAAAATGCACAATTGCAAACAGTTCAAAGGGGACAGTGGAATTCCAGAGGTTCAGGATGAGAGCCTGACCTCCGAATCATTCATGACACCATTTTATGCATCATATTTTGCAAGCATTGCAATAAGCAAGGTACACAGGAGCAGAAAAGAAGCAAGATTATCAAGGGGCCTAGTAACATCTCTGGCAAGACTACTGGTGGGGCCTGAGTTTTCTTCCTGGCCTCTGCAGCTGATGGTGAAGGCTTTGCCAATGCCAGCAGCATACTGCCTGCAGGGGCCTCATCCTCGTACGAAGGGTAATGGATGGATAAAAAACTGATAATTAAAACAGATAAGAACTAAAAACAAACAAAGACATGCAGTTAAAAGAACTGTAAGAGCATAAGAACTAAAAGACTCGCAGTTAAAACAACTATAAGAGGCTGCAGAGTAGAAGCTTCTTAAATAGAGGACACTCACAACATTAGAAACTGCTGTGCAAATATGGTTAAAACAGACAATTAAAATAATGTACAACACTGAATTTAGCAAAAATGTACAACGATAAACTGTCCCAGGGAGTTGACTCAGAATCACCCATGGAACCGTATTTGGGGCTTTTCATGCCGGACTATTTTGAATTGGGCGATGGTCTGCGCCTACAGATCTGTACACAGAATCTGGCGACCATCCAGGTCATCTTCTTGTCTTTGCCTAACAGCAAAAGGTCAAATTTTTGCTTTTGCGGGAGGTCGGCGAGCCTCACCAGTAGGGGATCCATGATCTTACTACGTGCCTCTTCATAAGAGGGACATCTAAAGCAGTGTTTTTCAACCACTGTTCCGTGGCACACTAGTGTGCCGCGAGATGTTGCCTGGTGTGCCGTGGGGGAAATTCGAAAGATTTTTTTTAAAAAAAATGTCAAATTTTCGCCCACTAGGCGGGCGCCGGACTGTGTCCACCCTATTTTCCATCCGTCCTGGGTGGGGATCAGATCGGATGGGATCGGATGAGAGCGGACAGGCGGTCTGCTCTCATCCGATTCCCCATAGACATCTCCCTCTCTGCACACAGTGGTGGTGTGCCTCGTGATTTTTTTCATGAAACAAGTGTGCCTTTGCCCCAAAAAGGTTGAAAAACACTGATCTAAAGAACAAGTGTTCTGGGCTTCCTATCTCTCCCAATGGACAGGTGCAAAGTCTCTGAGCATAGGGGACTTTTCTAAAAGCTGGCGAGTGTAAAGGCCCTTCTTGCAACCCTAGATACAAGAAAGAAGAGATATGCTGCCGGTGCGGCTATATATCTCTGGATTTATCCAATTCTATAGTCGGGGCACCTTGCCCAGTCCAGCTGTCTCTCGGTGTCTAATATTCTTTGCCTGACCATAGCTTTTGCCTGGCTCAAACTTAGAAGGGCTTGAGGGGCAAAACCCAGTTTCCGGAGGGTGTTCAGGACTGCAGTCTGCCAGCCTGACTGGAATTGGTCACAGAGGATCAAGGGGGCTATCCCTTGGGGGAATCCTCAAAGAAAGAATTTGGGAAGTCTTGGGGCCTAGTTGGGGGTGACTACACAGTCAGGTTTTGGGTAACCTGTCCCTTCAGTATGCTACTACTACTGCTGCTACTACTACTGCTAATAATAATTTTCAGTGGACCAATGGTTTGGAGTGATAGACAACAAAATTTGCTCCTTCTTTACGCTGTGCATGTAATGTGGTTTGCTGTTGGAAATACAGGGATTGCTGACTTAAAAAAAAAAAGATGGGGCAAATTGATGGGGTCAGGCAGTCTGCCTAGCGATGGTTATAAGTTGCAAGAGGCCAAAGAGAACTTAACTCAGTTAAAAGTTCTTTAGATAGCCACCCTGGCTTCTTTAGGCACCTTCCATGTTTCCGTCTCAATGGTATTGCCTGAAGTTGTGCTTTTACTATCTCTTAACAAACTCCCAGCCATCATGAACTCCCTTTCCTTTTAGTATTACTGTCCATGGAATCTCACCCAGCACTTCCCTAAGTATTATGAAGTCGGCTTTCTTAAAGTCAAGAAATTGAGTCCTAGTATGCTTGGCTGCTCCTTTCCGCTGTATAGTAAACTTCAGAAGAGCATGATCACTCGCACCTAATGATCCTTCCACTTCTACCCCACTAGCCAGGTCATCAACATTGGTTAGGACCAGATCTAAAATGGCTGTTCCTCTTGTTGCTTCTCCCACTTTCTGGACAATGAAGTTGTCTGCAAGGCCAGTGAGGAATCTGTTTGACCTTATGCTCTTGGCTGAGTTTGACATCCAACAAATATCCGGGTAATTGAAGTCCCACATTACTACTATCTCCCTTCCTTTTGCATGCTTGGCCATCTGTTCCAGGAAGGCATCATCTATGTCCTCCGTTTAGCTTGGGGATCTATAGTAAACTCCCACAATGAGGTCTCTGTTATTCTTCTCTCCCTTAAATTTGACCCAAATGCTCTCACTTTGGCTTTGAGGTTCTAAATCTTGGATCTCTTCACAGGTATCCAAGATTTAGAACCTCAACGCCAAAGTGAGAACTTCCATATGCAGAGGCAGTGTACCGTTGAATGACAGCTGCTGAGCGATAAACAGTGAAGAAAGGTTTCTGGATGCATCTGACTGGCCCCAGTTGGGAGACAGAATGCTGGGCTTGGCGGCGATTCTCGCCACCAATGCGGAGAACGGATTTGTCAGAGCAGGTTGTCGGATTTGTAACAGCAGGGATCATTCAGTTAGTCACCCAAGGGTTAATTCCCCCCCCGAGTCAGTTAACCAAATGGTTGCAGAGGTGTTGCTTAGCAACCAGCCATGATCTTTTCTGAAGTAACACGTGCTCTGATTGGCTGTGCGATTCTGAGGGAGTTCCCTCCTGTACTTGGTTAGTCACTGTATGTCTTCCTGCTATGTACAAGGCCTGATCGAAACAAAACCCTCTGCTTATTTCTCCTCAAATTATACCCTGTTCCTATTCAGTTTACTTGATAAAATACTATCTTTTTGCTCTGGACTCCATCTGCTTTATTCAAGTCATTCCTCTAACAAGTTAACTTTTCATTAAAAGCCATACATGTGGTGATACGACCTCCGTCCCTGCAGTTGCACTTCAGCCACGAATCCAGTATTATTTTTATTATTACTTTTTACAACATCCAGGTATACAGGTTTATCCAGGGTTCTGTTGCATTCATAAAATAATAATGGGAGGTGGGGAAGTCCTTGCCCCAAGGAGCTTGAAAGCAGGGGTGGGGAACATTTTTGAGGCTGAGGGCCACATTCACTGCTGGGGAATCTTTTGGGGGCCACATGGCACTGGTATGGGGGCAGGTTTTTACATACATCCTGCAGGCAAGCAATAGGCCTTACTGGAGTTCAAGGCTGCATTCCAGCCTAGTAAAAACACCCGAGGAGAGTGGGACATGCCAGTGAAGGATGTTGACTGGGGAGTGTTCTGAGGGCCACATGGAGATGACCGGGGGGCCGCTTTTCAGCCCGCATTGGAGGTTCCCCACCCCTGATTCACAGCATAAATCCGAAGTGTGGCCTAACCTTTTAAATGATAAAAACCGCAGAGTGCTTTCCTTCTGAGGCTGACTATTTTAAATTGCGAAGCGACACTGGATCTTAGCCAAAAGGCCGAGAATACACAGGCCCTGATAGCTGCAGGCTATGAGAAAGCTAGAGCAATAATCCGCCAACGAATTTGGGATGTGGAACTGCAATGCCACGTGAGCGAGATGAATAAACACCCAGCAATAAAAGATAATGGGAGAGGATTTACCCCAGCAAATTACCGGGTATTTGTCAAAACTACAAATACAGACGGTCATTTACCCTCGCTAGATTCAACGTGCTGCCACCTGCCTTATTGCGGGGCAGATTCGAGGGTAAACCATACACGGAATGAGTTTGCCCCTGTGGCTTGATGGAGGTAGAAACTGTCTCTCATGTCTTATTATGCTGCCATTTCTACGGGGATATACGCTCGGTATTTATCACTCCTGTTATACAAAAATCTCCAAATGGGTCTGAACTTCAATGTCTAAAACTCCTGGTAGAGGACAAGGATCTAGAGATTACGCTAAGGGTGGCCAAATTCTGTGCGAATGCCATAAAACTTAGGGAACAAGCTGTGCTACCAAAATGATTAAGGTTTTAAATGATAATTTTAGGTTATATTTTAGTGATCAAGATTTAATATATTTTTTTAACTGCTGCTATATCTGAATTGTCTCGGTTATATCCAATTGCAATCCAATGTATCCCTGTTGTGTTTTATGATTTTCCTGATATTGTAAGTGACCTGGAACTGGTCTGTGACCGTAACAATAAAATTCTAATTATAATTCTGAGAAGCGACACAAGAAAATGCACGACTGCAAACAGTTCAAAGGGGACAGTGGAATTCCAGAGGTTCAGGATGAGAGCCTGACCTCCGCCGGGCTCTCTTCAGCGTGGTTTCTTTTGTGCAGCAAGAGGAGCGAGATCTGGCAGAAGCTTTCACCGCACTCGGAGCAAGCATACAGTTTCCTGCTGACGTGGACCCGCTGGTGCCGGGTGAGGTGCAACTTGCAAACAAACCCCTTCCCGCAGTCGGGGCAGCGGTGGGGCTTCTCGCCGGCGTGGCCGTGCTGAATGAGGCCTGAGCGCGACCCATACTTCTTCCCGCAGAGGGAGCAGGCGTACGGCTTTTCCCCGGTGTGGATTCTCTGGTGTCGGGTGAGGTCTGACATCCAGACGAAGCTCTTCTCGCACGCGGGGCAGTCATACAGCGTGTTCCCTTTGTGGACTCTGCGGTGGCCGATCATGTGCTTCTTGTGAGTGAACCTCTCGCTGCACTCAGTGCACTGGTACATGATGGCCCCGTCGATGTTCTTCTCCTTCTTGTAGAGGCCCGAGTTTTTCAGTGCCATGCTGATCACGACGCAGCTCTTGGGCTTATGCTCTGGCAGGGTTCCGGCAAATATCATCTTGCCTATTCCACAAGGAACAGGTTTGCTCCTGGACTGCCTCTGCGGCCTACGAGGATCCCCAGAGGCGTGGTCCTCACAGAGGTCCTCTTCTGTCCCACCTCCTGGAGACATCCCACATGGTTGATCTAGCCGGTCAGAGGTTTCCTGGTGACTGGGGCTCCTTCCGTTCCCACTTGCCTGCCAAACACCTAGTGGAACAAAGAGAAAGAAAGAAAAGGATCCAGAGGGAGCCCTTTGGTCTTTTCTTTTTCTTTTAAATTGTTTTTATTGAATTTTACATTACAAATTTAAATTCAAACATTAAACATCAGCATCCTCATTTAGGATTCTCTGAATGCTTAGACTTCCCTCCGGCCTTCGGTGGTTACCATTTTCAATCTTTTTATTTTCAACTGCTTCCCTTAATTTTCTCTATCCCCCCCCCCCCCATAATCCATTTACAGTGGTACCTTGGGTTACAGATGCTTCAGGTTACAGACTCCGCTAACCAAGAAACAGTACCTCGAGTTAAGAACTTTGCTTCAGGATGAGAACAGAAATCACATGGCGGCAGCAGGAGGCCCCATTAGCTAAAGTGGTACCTCAGGTTAAGAACAGTTTCAGGTTAAGAACGGACCTCCAGAACGAATGAAGTTCTTAACCCAAGGTACCACTGTATACCATAGTTTTCCGTACTTTACAAGCATTACTTAAATCCTGCCAAAGTCTTTAGTTGTTTACAATGTTCTCTTAAGTACGTTGTAACTTTTTCCCATTCTTCAAAGTTATTCTCTTCCTGGTTTCTGACAAAGTCCCAACCAGAGACAAATGGTTGATGAAGATGATGGACTACACTGAAAAGGCGAAATTGACCGGGAAAGTCAGAAATCAGAAACCCTTTGGTCTTTTCTAAGTTATAACAGGAGCCAATGTTGTGTTAGTGCTGCAAAGTGCCAGACTCAGACCTTCCAGAGCTGGGTTCAAATTGATGAAGCTCACCGGGTGACCTTGGGCATCACTGCCTCTCAGCCTAAACTACCTCACAGGGTTGTTGTGAGGAGTAAAAGAGGAAGGAGAGAACCACGTAGGCCACCTCGAGCTCCTTGGGAGGAAGGGAGGTGGGACACAAGAGCCATAAATACATGCAGAGACATCAACAAGTTGGATCCAGATTGGAGGAGACCCTCCTGAAAGCAACTGGGGAAGGGTTCCCCATCTTTGTCCTACACACCTCAGGACTGGGTTACTCGAGAGTCTGCTTTGATCTCTTATCTACCCAGTAGGTCCCTGAGGCCTGTAGGGTCCAAGGATCTCAGAAGCCTTCTCCACCGTAACTCAAAAGCAGGGCTTCCATTCTCTGCTGAGATACGACAGGTCACCCACTTGGTGGTACTTTCCGGAAACAGTCAGAAGCCATATTTGTTACGACAAGCTTTTCCATCTGGATGGGTTTCACTTCATTTCACTTTTAATTTGTATTCTGCAAGGAGGTGTTGTTGGTTATGGAGTCTAGGGGGTCACCATTGGTGTGAGACCATAAAATTACTACCATTGTGCTGCTTGCCATGTTGTTGTTTTAAGTGGGGGCTTCATATTCATAGATCAGCCTACCATCAAAGCCTTAGCTTTAGATGACAACCCCACCTCGCCCTTCAAGAAAACATCTTACATTAAGAATGTGTGTGCTGTTCGATATACTGTAATGTAGTCTTAGGCAACCAGCTTTTGAACTACAACTCCTGTCAGAGTGATAGGAGTTGTAGTTGAAAACAGCTGGAGGCCCCCCCAAACCCCTGAAGCTTTCTTTTTAGGGATTATAGGGATGGGGGGGATGATTAAGTGGTTTACGTATGCTACAACAGCAGCAAATATTTTATATGCTCAATAATGGAAAAAATAAACTTCCCACAAAAGAAGAATGGATAAGTAAGGTGATGAACTATGCAGAAATTGAAAAGTTAACAGCTAAAATAAGAGAACCTAATGATGACAGCTTTGTGGAAGAATGGAAGCCTTTTTTGGACTATTTAAAGAAATACAGTATGATGAATTCGTGAGCAGGATCTGAGGCATGATCAGCAGAAAGAATTAGGACTAACTATACTACATTTTACGCGGACGCGGGTGGCGCTGTGGGTAAAAGCCTCAGCACCTAGGACTTGCCGATCGAAAGGTCGGTGGTTCAAATCCCCGCGGCGGGGTGCGCTCCCGTTGCTCGGTCCCAGCGCCTGCCAACCTAGCAGTTCGAAAGCACCCCCGGGTGCAAGTAGATAAATAGGGACCGCTTACTGGCGGGAAGGTAAACGGCATTCCGTGTGCTGCGCTGGCTCGCCAGATGCAGCTTGTCACGCTGGCCACGTGACCCGGAAGTGTCTCCGGACAGCGCTGGCCCCCGGCCTCTTGAGTGGGATGGGCGCACAACCCTAGAGTCTGTCAAGACTGACCTGTACGGGCAGGGGTACCTTTACCTTTTTATACTACATTTTTACCAGACATTGACATTTTGAACAAGCCACTACATTTTTAATCCTTTGAAAATCCTTTCAAGCGGCTGCTTCAAATTTACCTTTTCAGGCCAAGAGTTCTTTCTCGAGGTAAATATATGTATACAGTCCCTGATCACTATAAAAGCTATTTAACGTTTTTAAGTTAATTATGTTGTGGACATAATTGTACAGTCGTACCTTAGAAGTTGAACAGAATCTGTTCCGGAAGTCAGTTCGACTTCCAAAGCGTTTGAAAATCAAAGCATGGCTTCTGATTGGTTGCAGGAAGCTCCTACAGCCAATTGGAAGCTGCGGAAGCTGCGCCGGATGTTCAGCTTCCAAAAGAACGTTCGGAAACCGAAACAGTCACTTCCGGGTTTCGATTGTTCGGGGGCCAAAACGTTCGAGAACTAGGCTGTTTGAAAACCAAGGTACGACTGTAGTTTGCAAGAACACCTTTACAGAATATTGGATAAAGGAATATACCTACAAGGGGAATGAAGGATAAATGAAAGGATACTATAATATTGTTATGATATAAGAGATAGATTAAAGGGTGCAGGAAAGGGGGAGAAAATAAAACCCACCATGGAAAACGGGATGGGAAGTTGGAAAAACAAAACAAAATTATGTTTTGAAGAGTATATGTGGATTTTTTTTCTTTTCCCCTTGAAATCTAATTTTTTAAATAAAAATAAAATAGGGACCATTGCCATTTAAAAAGAAACAGCTGGAGGGTGCCAGGGTGCCAAAGGCTGTTATCAAGTGTCCAGCCTTGCACTAGGTACTGTACAAGCTGGGTGACTTACAAAGGATGTCTAGAATATAGATCAGTATTAATGAGCTGTAGCAGGCCTAATTGTGCTTCTAGATGTCCCAAACGAAATAGGTTCATCCTTCCTTTTTTGGATACGGGCAAGTCACTGGTAAAAGCCACTTTTCAGAGAACGAGCATTCATGCAATTGCAATTCCATGATTCTATAAGATCCATCTTGATCCCAGAAGTTCTCTTTCAATGCCTCCTGCTGGCCTGCTGGATCTTGCTAAAGACCCATCAAGTTTCCCACATTCAGGGGCCACTCAGTTTGGAAGCAGGACCTGAATACAACAGGCCCGGAGCAGAACAGTGGGCTCACCTGGTCCAGCACTCTCTTCTCAGTGTGCTCAACCAAATGCCCCACCATTACAAGACCTGAACCCACCAGCATGACTCTCCCCGTTTGTGATTCCCAGCGACTGGCATTCAGAGGCATAAAGAGCTTCTGGCAGTGAAGGGAGAACACAAGCCATTCCATTGCAGCTAGTAGCCAGTCACCAGTGTCGAAGCAATGGTTCTTCATCATCAACTTCGTTGGACCGAGCATGTTGTGTGGATGCCTGATGGTCGTCTTCCAAAGCAACTGCTCTATTCCACACTTAAAAATGGAAAGCTGGTGGTCAACAAAAGAGGTTTAAAGACTCTCTCAAGGCAAATCTTAAAAAAATGTAGTATAAACACTGACAATTGGGAAACACTGGCCTTTGAGCGTTCCAGTTGGAGAACAGCCTTTACCAAAGGTCTTTGAAGACACTCGAACTCAGGATGAAAGGGAGAAAAATGCTAAGAGGAAGGCACGCTTGGCAAACCCTCACCATGATCAACTACTGCCTGGAAACGTATGTCCCCACTGTGGAAGGATGTGTGGATCCAGAATCGGCCTCCACCGTCACTTACGGACTCACTGTTAAAACCGTGTTCTTGGAAGACAATATTACTTGGTTATGAGGGATCGCCAAAGAAGGCACTGATAGCCTTAACCTCCACTGATTTCTCCAGCTCCCTTTGCAAAACCAGATGCTGCCATTTCTTGTGTATGTCAGATGAAGATGTCCTGCCTTTTGTCTTTCCTGGATCTCCCACCATTCAGCTTCGCTGGACATTAGTGTTATGGGCAGGAAAGAAGAACTTCCCTCTGTCCACGTTCTTCACAAAGCCAGCCAAGCTGGGGGCCTCATTGCCTCTGTGGGAGGGAGTTCTGTAGTTTAACTGTGCGCACTGAGTGAAAAAGTACCTTATTTTGCCTGTCCTGACTCTTCTGACATTTGGCTTCATTGGGTGTCCACAAGTTCTAGTCACCTTTGAAGGTGACTCGGAAACTGCAATTAATCCAGAATGCGGCAGCTAGACTGGTGACTGGGAGTGGCCGCTGGGACCATATAACACCGGTCCTGAAAGATCTTCATTGGCTCCCAGTATGTTTCCGAGCACAATTCAAAGTGTTGGTGCTGACCTTTAAAGCCCTAAACGGCCTCGGCTGAGTATACCTGAAGGAGTGTCTCCACCCCCATCGTTCTGCCCAGACACTGAGGTCCAGCGCCAAGGGCCTTCTGGTGGTTCCCTCGCTGCGAAAAGTGAGGTTACAGGGAACCAGGCAGAGGGCCTTCTCAGTAGTGGCGCCTGCCCTATGGAACGCCCTTCCAGCAGATGTCAAGGAAATAAACAATTATTTTACTTTTAAAAGACAACTGAAGGTGGCCCTGTTTAGGGAAGTTTTTAATGTCTGGTGCTGTATTTTTAATATTCGGTTGGAAGCTGCCCAGAGTGGCTGGGGAAACCCAGCCAGATGAGTGGGGTACAAATAATAAATTATTATTATTTTATAAGAGAGGGTGAAAAACCTCTTTCTCCAAAACCTGCATAATATTATACCCCTCTATCATCATGTTCCTCACTCTTTATTCTTCTACGCTAAAAAGCCCTAAAGGGTGTAACCTTTCCTTCAAGGAGAGTTGCTCTGGCCCCTTGATTGTTTTTTGGTTGTGTGTGCGTAGACAATTGCTCCAAAAATAAATAAATCAAAAATCAAAATAGCCGTGGAAGGAATGGAGAATATTCTTTATTGTGTTAGCAACCGAATGCTCCTGCATTACACAATGTCTAAACACAGGACATTTTTGCGACTGAAGTTTAGCCCGGGTGAGCAATCCACTCAATCACTCATTGGCAGTACTGATCTCCCGCATCTTGCCCCGCAGCCATGGAAAAATAACCCCCCTGCAGTCCGTGCCATCTTTACAGCTTAGCGCGCAATGTGGATTCTCTGATGTCTATTAAGGCAAGTGTTGCGAGAGAACCTTTTTCCGCACACGGGGCACTCGTGGGGCTTTTCCCCCGTATGAATCCTGCGGTGCGTGTTAAGGTTAGCTTTCTGGCTAAAGCTTTTCCCGCACCGCGAGCACTCGTAGGGTCTTTCACCCGTGTGGATTCTCTGGTGAGTGTTAAGGTAGGAGCTGCGAGAGAACCTTTTCCCGCAGGTGGGGCACTTGTGAGGCCTCTCGCTCTCGCATCTCTTGCGGTGCCCGAGAAGGTGGAACTTCTGGCCAAACCGCTTCCCGCAGTCGGAGCACTTGAATGGCTTTTCTCCCGAGTGGATGTTCTCGTGCTTAAGGAGGTTTGCGCTCTGGCCAAACCTCTTCCTATACGCAGTGCAGACGCTTGGTCTCTTACCAGTGTGACTCCTCCGCTGGTGTGCATCCTCCTTCAGATCCTGGAATGTGCCCCCAAACGGGACAGACACACCGACTTCTCGTCCCAAGTCCGCTTCCTGGTGCCCACCTGGAGCGCTTCCCTGCTCGCGGAAACAGGAAACGTCCTCTCCTGCTCCCCAAACCGACGTCCCACGTGGTGGCAGATGCTCGCGATCTTCCGGGCTGTACCTCTCCGCTTCGTTGAGGTTCGCCCACCCTTTAGCTCCTGAATGGGAAAATAAAATTTCAGATAGGTGCTGGAGATGCAAAGAGGTTGAGGGCATGTTTTATCATGTGTGGTAGACTTGTAAAAGGGTAAAAGAGTTCTGAGAAATAATTGTCTAATGAACTGAAAAAAAATGTTTAAATGTACTTAAAAACAACAACAACCAGTGTTCTTTTTGTTGGGGATAATTCAGACGGAAATTCCCAGGTGTCAAAAAACGGTTATTTATGTTAGCCCAAAAATGGAAAACGAGTGAAGTCCCAACCAAAGAAGAATGGCAACTTAAACTGATGGGATATACGCAGCTTGTGGATTTAACATACAGAATAAAAGAACAAGAAGAACATAGGTTTAAAGAAAATTGGAAAATGTTTATTGAATTTATATATTATTAAATTTTATGTTTTACACTTTTGAATACTCATTTAAACATCCTTAAAATATCAGTGACTTCCTTTCTTCACTTTCCATGGTTCATTTTGCATTTCATAAATCCCTGCATATTTTACATAAACTAAACCATTCATCCCATCCATCAAAGCTTATTTGCATTGCTGAATTTATCTTAATGCTGCCAACGTTTTCAAGTGTACATAATTTCCCCCCATATATTCAATAAACATTTCCCAATCTTTTCTAAATGTATGTTCTTCTTGTTCTCTTATTCTATATGTTAAGTCTGCGCATATTGCATCAGCTTAAATTGCCATTCTTCTTTACTCAGGACCTCGCTCGTTTTCCATTTTTGGACTAACAAAACACGGGCTGCAGTAAGGTAGGAGGTTTGAAGCCCTGCAACAGGGTGAGCTCCCGTTGCTCTGTCCCAGCTCCTGCCAACCTAGCAGTTCGAAAGCTAGGTAGTTCGAAAGCCAGTGCGAGTAGATAAATAGGTATTGCTGCGGCGGGAAGGTAAACGGCGTTTCCATGTGCTCTGGCTTCCGTCAGTGTCCCGTTGCACCAGAAGCGGTTACCTACGCTGGCCACATGACCTGGAAAGTTGTCTGTGGACAAACTCTGGCTCCCTCAGCCTGAAAGCGAGATGAGTGCCACAACCCCATAGTCACCACTGACTGGACTTAACCGTCCAGGGGTCCTTTTACCTTTTAACTTACATAAATAACCTTCTGTTGCCATATTGTCAATCTATTGACCAAAGGGGATGTGATCCCCTTGTCCGCCCATGAATTTGTCTAATCCTCTTTCAAAGGCACCCAGGTTGGGCGCCAACACTGCCTCCTGGGAACGAGGCAGCTTAACTATGAGCTTAAGTGAAGAAGGATATCCTTTCGGTGGTCCTGAACCTTCCAACCTATTACAAGCGCCTTAAGACACACTTTTGCCATCCTCACCTGTTAAGAGGGCCTCTCCGTGGTCAGCTTCCTGCTTGGTCTCACGGCGCATCTGCCGCTGGGCGGGGTCAGAAGGAACCAGTTCTGGCTCGCAGAAGCTCAGGACCACCTCCTCAAATGGCACACTTACCTGAAATAGCAGAGGAGATTCTCTAAGGACAGGATTTAGGGCAGGGGTGGGAGTGGGAACCCTCCCTGACCCACAGGTTGCATGCGGCCCTCCGCCAGACTTCCCCTGGCCCTTTGAGTTCCCCTCCAGCTCTTTTCAGCAAGGGACCACATGAGCAACAGGGGAAAGGTTTGCGATTACGGATGGGAGATGCTGTCCTTTATTATTCTCGCCTTCTCAGTCTTTCAAGTTCCTTTCTCCACATTTTTACATAGGTTTGCTGGTTCTTTTTATTATAAATATATCTATATATTGGGTTTTGATCAAGATGATGATTGGTGGAATGCTCGCTCCAGGGAGACTCACCTGGTGCCTCCATTATACAGCTTTGGGCGTATAACGTTCCTCTTCCACAAGGGCTTTGGCTGATGAACATCCTATATCCTTCTATATGTGTTTTTGGGAGGGGGAGAGCGAGGATTCCTGGTTTGTTTTGGTCTTGTTCATGTTTTTATTACGTATTTTGTGTTTTTAGAATGTACAGTGGTACCTCGGGTTAAGTACTTAATTCGTTCCGGAGGTCCATTTTTAACCTGAAACTGTTCTTAACCTGAAGCTAATGGGGCCTACTGTTGCTGCCACGCCGCCGGAGCACGATTTCTGTTCTCATCCTGAAGCAAAGTTCTTAACCCGAGGTAATATTTCTGGGTTAGCGGAGTCTGTAATCTGAAGCGTATGTAACCTGAAGCGTATGTAACCCGAGGTACCACTGTATTTTTATGCTGTGAACCCCTCTGAGGTCTACAGATAAGGGGTGATATATTTAACAAACAAATAATAATGATAATAAACAGTAAGAGTCAGCACAATTTTTGTACCTGTTACTTGGCTGTAGAAATGAACTGCAACATTTGGAGAATCAACCATTTCGATGGATGGCTGTGTTTTGGTTGGAAAGTGGTTGGAAATGTGTCAGCTACCTAATTGCCAACCGAATCAAGTCAAGTCATTTTATGATGGTCAATTACAAGTATCCAAACGAAACACCAATTACAAAATTTCCCGCCCATCTGATACACTATCTGCAGCCTTTATAGCCCGAGGCATTTGGCTAATTAAACAATCAATGGCCTTTTACCCTGTGGTTTTTTTAAAATTGTTTTACTTGATATTATGTTTGCTGATTATTATGTTATGTATTTTTTGTTGTTATAATATAAACAGCCCTGTGATCCTCGGATGAAGGGTGGTATAGAAATTTAATGAATAATAAAAATAAATAAAAACCTGCCCCCCCTTCCCCAGGTTACTGGCTGCTCATCTGTTCCCAACTTGGGGAAAGCAAAGAACACAGGGAGCTCACCTGAGGTTTTGGCTGCTCTGCCTCCTGCTGCCTCAGCAGGAAGTCCTCAGCCAGGGCCACTGCCTGGAAGCAGGTCTCTGGCCCCCGTTCCCTGACCCAGCTCTGGATCTCTGGAGGCAGGATGGTCAGGAACTGCTCCAGGATCAGAAGCTCCAGGATCTGCTCCTTGGAGTGCCTCTCCACCTTCAGCCACCGCTGGCAGAGCTCCTGGAGGCGGCTGTAGGCCCCTCGCGGCCCCTCGGCTTCCCGGTAGCAGAAGCGCCGGAAGTACTGGCGGTTCTTCTCCCTGCTGATGGCGTCCCCGCGCAAGATGGCCGCCTTCACTTTCCCATAATCCTCTCTGTCCCGGCCCTCCAGCCTGCGGAAGGCCCGCTCGGCTTCTCCGCTGAGGGCCGGCGAGAGGCGAGCTACCCACGCCTCCCGGGGCCAGTGGCAGGCTTCGGCCACTTGCTCAAAGGAGGCGAAGAAGGCTTTGGTGTCGTCCCAGGGGGTGGGCTCCTCTGGCGGCTGCGGGACCGCCCAACCCACGTGAGGGGACTCCACTTCCTTCAGGAACTCCTGCCACTGGACCTCCCAGCGCTGAAGGATCCCTTCCCCTCCTTCCTCTTTCACTTGGTGCTGGGACGGCATCTTTTGCAGGAATTCCCGGATGCAGCCCCTCTGGTGGGGCTTCCTCACACTCTCTGCTCCCTCCACCGGTTTGGGGGCTGCTTGGCTTGGCTCCTCCATTTTCATCCCTGGCGCAAGCTTCTCGTGCAAGATCACAGAGGGGGCTGAAGAGGAGGTCCTGGCTCCCTGGGCAAAAGAGGCATTTATGTTATTATTTATTAAATTTATATGCCGCCCTACAGCCCCAGGTCTCAGAGAAATACAAGTGATTTATTTGAAATGTTAGCAAAGACACTCAAACAAGGCAGACAAGAGTCTGGAGAGAAGTCCTGCCTCAACACTTTACTGAGAAAACTGAACAAAGTAAGCCCACAAGAATGAAAACACTCTACAGAGTATGATCTGAGGAAAAGGAACATAGAGAAGCATTTTGTACTTCAAGCCTTGCATGTAGCAGGGAGACACTGACCCAAGAATACGGAAGAAAAACTCCCTCAGAACTGCACAGCCAATCACAGCATTTGCTACCTCAATAAACATCACGCCACTCTGCCTGGTTGCCAAGCTGATATCAGCTGGTATCAGAATTAACCCTTACATTACAAACTGAATGATCCCTGCTGTTGCACTTACAAAAAGAGCAACCTCACGCCTGTGGGGAGGGGAGGGGGAATGTGGCCTTTCAATCTTCTCTGTCTGGTTCTTGTGACTCTTCCCAGCCTAAATCCTTTACTGGCTCTGATTTGCACCCTCTTTAGGTGTTTTAACTGATTATAATATTGCATTTTAAAACTGCTATATCCGGCCCTGTGCAAGTGGCTTCTGGAAGGTTTCCCATAAGAGAATTTGCCCTTTGGGGTGAAAAAGGGCTCCATACCTCTGCAATAAAATACACCACTTGAGGTAGCAACTCCAAAACAATTGCAGAAAAGAAGAGAAAAAAGTAGCCTAAAAATTAATAAATCATAAAGCACCCAGAGTAAAAGTACAGTTGTACCATGGTTCTCAAATGGAATCCCTTCCGCAAGTCCGTTCAACTTCCGAAAATGTTCAAAAACCTAGGCACAGCTTCTGATTGGCTGCAGGAGCTTCCAGCACTCAATTGGAAGCCGCGGAAGCAACGTCGGACATTTGGGTTCCAAAGAATGTTCCCAAACTGGAACACTCACTTTTGGGTTTATGGTGTTTGGGAGCCAAAACGTTCGAGTCGAAGGCATTCGCCAACCAAGATATGACTGTAGTTGCATTGGCCTGCAACAGGGATGATTTATATTTGTTTTTTAAAACTTTCAATCACTAAAATAAAGCGGTCCTAAAAATATATCAGGTGGTTCTTAAAAGAAGACCCCAATGTACAGTTGCCAACTGTCCAGAAAAATACAACCTGGCCTGCTCCTCCTCCTTTAAGACAGTTCTGATCCCCAGAAATCAGACAGCACAGCTTTTCATGGCTTCAAAATAAACATCATAAGGATCACCTGACACATCTTATACCTGCTGTTCCTCAAGGGGCTACATTACAAAATGGAAGACAATGGCCGCTGCTGGCTTTCCATAGCTGTCAACCTTCCCTTTTTTGGCGGGAAATTCACTTATTCCAGCGCTGTTTCCCGCTGCTTCCCACTGCTATCCCAGATTGTTAGTTATCCTGTAGACTGTCCCGGGGACAGCTGAGGCTGCTGATCCCTTATTTTCAAATCTGAAAGTTGACATCTATGTTTCAGCCCAACCCGTCAGCAAGCCTTGTCTCATGTTCTCATGTTAGCGACAGCCCTGGGAGGTAGGCTGGGCCAAGAGAAAGCAACCAGCCCAAGGTCACCCAGCGAGCATTGTGTCTGAGGGAGGAGGGCTGGAACCTGGCTTGCTATTATCCTAGTCTGACTTTCGCAAGAGACCTCAGGATCAGGCCAGCGGCCTCTCTAAGTCCGGTGTCCTGTTCTCACAGTGGCCAATCTGTGGGGAAACAGGAGCTGAGGGCTGTGGTTTCCAGCAACTGGGATTTCTATGCATTGGAACCCAGGAAGCTGCACAGAGTCAGACCCCTGGGTCCATTGTCGCCAATGACAGCCAGTGGCTTGCCAGGGTTGCAGACGGGGGTGGGTGGGGCTGGAGTGGGGCATCGTTTGCCCTAACCTAGAGATTCTGGAGGCTGCAAATGTTGCAAGGCACCTGCTCACTGCAACCTTGGCTGTTCGTTTCTTCCCAGCCACCGAAGGATTCCCTCTCCCTTCTTAACTTCTTGCATCTCTCCTCCCGCTTAAAAAAAGCAAGCAAGCAAAAGCAACATCTGCAATTGGAAGCAATTTCTAAGAACTCACCCCAAAACCACACACACACACACACTAGAAGAGGCTCCAACCAGCTGGAGAGGAAGAAATGGCACACAGGAAGTGAAATTGTGACTTTTCACGTCCTGCCTCGCCTGCCCCTCTCTCTCTCTCTTGCACATCCCCACACCCAAACATGCACACCCACACTTCCGCATTTCCACCCTAGGAAGCCTAAACACACCTCCCAGAACCCCTCTAGGACTCGCAAGGAGCTCGCTGGTTTTAACTCTTCGAACACTTTGAGTGGGTTGCGGGTGTTTGCCCTCGCGTGGCTGTGAGGCTTAGTGGGTAGAGCACAAGCGGGGAAATGTGCATTTTATCTATTCTATACATTGATTGATTGATTGATTGATTGATTGATTGTGTTTAAATCATTCTAAACATTTCGTGCTGGTTCCTTTTGGTTTGGGGTTTTAAATAGGAAATGTTTTTTGAATAGGAAATGTTGAAGAATTATAGAAGCATAGGCTATCTGACTTTTAGAAGACATCTGAAGGCAGCCCTGTTTAGTGAGGTCTTTAATGTTTGATGTTTTGTCCTGTTTTTAATATTCTGCTGAGAACCACCCAGAGTGGCTGGGGAAAACCAGCCAAATGGGCAGGGAATGAATGAATGAATGGATAAATAAATAATAATTATTATCCCAGAATTTCAGAGCTGGAAGTGGATCCCCGACGATCTTCTAGTCCAACTCTCTGCAATGCAGCTGTCCCATACGGGGATCAAACCTGCAACCTTGGCGTTGTCAGCACCTGCTCTAACCTACTGAGCCTGCCACACACAGAGAGACAGTGTGGTGTAGTGGTTACTGCAATGGACTGTGATCAAATCCCCACTCTGCCATGAAACTTGCTGTCACCAACTCTCAGTCTAACCTGCCTCCCAGGGTTGTTGCAAGGGTCAAATGGAGAGGGAGAGAACTACATAGACCACCTTGAGCTACGCTTCTGAATACCAGGAGGGGAAAGATGCTTTTGTGCTCGGATCCTGCTCACAGGTTTCCCTTTGGGGGCATCTAGTTGGTCACTGAGAGAACAGGATGCCGGGCTCAATGGACCTACTTTGGCCTGATCCAAAAACCAGACTCGTCTCATGTTCATATGCATGTGTTTTTTTGTAATTTTATTACATATATATATTCTAGTTCATAGAAACATCAAAGCGGTTTACAACAGAAATACATTAAAACATTAAAAAGTTTTTTAAAAGCAGGTATCCGTTGTGGAAGGACGTATTCCAAATTAATGGCATGGATCTAGTAGAATAGGAAAGTCTTCCTTGTTTAATAGGTTATTGTATTTTAGTGTTTTGTTGGATAGGTTGTTTAATAGGTTATTGTATTTTAGTGTTTTGTTGGAAGCTGCCCAGAGTAGCTGGGGAAACCCAGCCAGATGGGCGGGGTAAAAATAATAAATTATTATTATTGTAACGATGAAGCAGAAGATGTTTGCTGAATCTCTATTGGCAGAATATTCCTCAATAAGGTAAAAAGGTAAAGGACCCCGGACGGTTAAAGTCCAGTCAAAGGCGACTATGGGGTTGCGGCGCTCATCTCACTTTCAGGCCAAGGGAGCTGGCGTTTCTCCACAGCTTTCTGGGTCATGTGGCCAGGATGATTAAACCACTTCTGGCGCAACAGAACACCATGACGGAAACCAGAGCGCACAGAAACGCCATTTACCTTCCCACCACAGTGGTACCTATTTATCTACTTGCACTGGTATGCTTTCAAACTGCTAGGTTGGCAGGAACTGGGACAAAGCAACGGGAGCTCAGTCCATCGTAGGAATTCGAACCACCAACCTTCTGATCCGCAAGCCCAAGAGGCTCACTGGTTTAGACTACAGCGCCACCCTCAATATTGGGCTGATGACACTAAAGGCTCAAGTTTCTTGTTGCCGTCAAATGAGCCTCATTAGCTCAGGGAACAGCCAACGGTGCTCCTGTGTACGATCTCAGTGATCCAGCCAGGATCTAAGGCAGGCATAGGCAAACTCAGCCCTTCAGATGTTTTTGGGACTACAACTCCCATCATCCCTAGCTAACAGGACTGGTGGACAGGGATGATGGGAATTGTAGTCTCAAAAACATATGGAGGGCTGAGTTTGCCTATGCCTGATCTAAGGGTTCAGGTGGTCCCTGAGGTGCCCTGGACCTAAGTTGGGTTTTCAAAATTAAGACAAGGACCTTTAACCTGCCTCACTAGCAAATGGGTGGCCAGCACAGAAGCTTAAACCACGGTGCCACATGATAATACTAATACAGTGGTACCTCGCAAGACGAATGCCTCGCAAGACAAAAAACCTGCAAGACGAAAGGGTTTTTGATTTTCTGAGTTGCTTCGCAAGACGATTTTCCCTATGGGCTTGCTTCGCAAGACGAAAACGTCTTGCAAGTTTGTTTCCTTTTTCTTAACACCGTTAATACAGTTGCGACTTGACTTCGAGGAGCAACTCATAGCACGCCGTGTGGTAGCCTTTTTTGAGGTTTTTGAAGACTTTGGTGATTTTTGAAGCTTTTCCAAAACTTTTCCGAAACCGTGCTTCACAAGACGGAAAAACTCGCAGAATGAAAAAACTCGCGGAACAAATTAATTTCGTCTTGCGAGGCACCACTGTACTAATACTACTACTACTACTACTAATAAATTTTTATTTATATCCCGTCCTCCCCAGCTGAAGCCAGGCTCAGGGCGGCTAACAACAATAAAATAATGCAACATTCTGAAATCATTTCATTATAAAACTAATTCAAATCAAATGATAATGATATCAATGAAATCAAATTCAAATGATATCATGCAGATGCCCCCATCAGCAGCCTGGCTGCCACTTTCTGCACGTGGACCTGGTGCAGGGAAGATGGGCAGGTGTGGATGGGCGGAGGGCAGGCTGAGTTTGGGGGAGCAGTGACTCATTCTCCCTCATGACCAGCCTCTCCTGCTGGGTGGTCCTTCTTTCCTTGATATTCCTCTGAGGAAGCCCCCTCAGTTTCCAGGTCTGGTCTCCAGACATAGACCCTCCCAGGAGCTTGTGACTGACACCTGTCTTTCTACCTCTTTGCCTTGGGTTTTGAAACTTAAGAAGTATATTTTCAGAACCCACCTTATTTTTCTGATTTTAATGTGCTTGAAACATCACGGTTTAATTGCTGCAACTCGCCCTTCACCCTTAAAACTGAAAAATCATTTATTTATTCTACAGGTGTGGTTTAAGATTATTGTTCTTATTTATTAAATTTGTATACAGCCGTACCTTGGAAGTCGAACGGAATCTGTTCCAGAAGACCGTTCGACTTCCAAAACGTTCAAAAACCAAAGCCCGGCTTCCGACTGGCTGCAGGAAGCTCTTGCAGCCAATCGGAAGCCCGGTCAGACGTTTGGCTTCCAAAAGAACGTTAGGAAACCGGAACAGTCACTTCCAGGTTTGGGGCATCTGGGAGCCAAAATGTCCGAGTACCAAGGCGTTCGGGATCCAAGTTATGACTGTACTGCTCTATATCCGCAAGTCTTAGGGCAGTTCGCAAGAGTGTGTGTGTATGTAAAAGAGAAAAAATGAAAATGAGCAATGAACACAAACAAAATTCCCAAGGCAAATGTTTGGGTTTTTTTACTCTAGGAAATACTCATTTAGGGAGGGGGGGGAAACAAATACATGTTCACAATAACACACAAAATAACGTGCAAAATACATTATCACAGTTATTTACTTATTTGGTTTCTCACTTGCCCTTTGCCACAACGGTGGGATCCAACCATATAAAAATACAAGGTTAAAATCAGCTTTAAACGATATACCTATAGAACAGACTGGATGTTGCACCTCTGACCGATGATGAAATCTGCACGACAAAGATGCCAGATGCAACTCTTGAGGAAGGAATTCCACAATTTAGGGGCTGCTGCTGCAAAGGCCCTGTCTCAGGCTGCCACCCCCCAAACGTCTGGCGGCAGAGGGGATTCCCAGAGCAGGGTCCCCTCTGCCCATTTTAACACTCCAGAGAGTCTGCAGAGAAGGAGGTGGTCTCCCCAATATTTAGGGCTACCCCTGGGCTTACTTTTAATCTTGTTTTTAAGTTGTATTCATTCACCTTGTTTTATTATTCGTTAGCCGCCCTGAGCCCGGCCTAGGCTAGGAGGGCGGGGTATAAATAAAATTTATTATTATTATTATTATTATTATTATTATTATTATTATTATTATTATTACTATGTGGCTCCCCCCTTGTGAATCCTTTCATGCCTAGCCAGGGTGGTGTGAGTGTTGAAGCTCTTCCCACAGGCCGAGCAATGGTATCGCTTGGCCCCTGCGTGCGCGGTCCGTTCGTGGAGCATGAGCTGCTGCCGCAGGCCAAAGCTCTCCGCGCAATGGGAGCACTTGTGCGCCAGCTTCTCTCCCGCGTGGCTCTTCTTATGGCGGATGAGGCCCGGGCGGGAATGGAAGCGCTTCCCGCAGTGTGGGCAGGCGTGGGGCTTCTCGCCCGTGTGGACCGTCATGTGCGCCAGCAGCACTGACTGGTAGCTGAACCTCTTGCCACAGGTGGTGCACTGGTGCGGCTTCTTCTCGCCCGTGTGGATCCGCTGGTGCACCAGGAGGTGCGAGTTGCAGCTGAAGCGCTTCTCGCAGAAGGAGCAGCCGTAGGGCCTCTCGCCCGTGTGGGTCCGCTCGTGGCGCGTCAGGTCGGAGATCTGGACAAAGGTCTTCCCGCACGATAGGCACATGAATGGCTTCTCGCCCGTGTGGATGCGTTCGTGCATGAGCAGGTTGGAGTTGCAGTTGAAGCGCTTCTCGCAGAAGGAGCAGCCGAACGGCTTCTCGCCCGTGTGGGTCCTCTCGTGGCGGGTCAGGTCGGAGACCTGGACGAAGCTTTTGGGGCAGTAGGCGCACTTGAAGGGCTTCTCCCCGGTGTGGGTCAGATTGTGCCTCAGGAGGTTCTGCTTGCGGTTGAAACTCTTCCCGCAGTCGCCACACCGGAAAGCCTCTTCTTGGAGCGGGGCCCTCTCGCGTCTGGGCCGAGAGACCCTCTCCGCTGCTGTTCCCGGGTGCTCGCCATCCTGCCGGTCCTCTGGACAGTCCAATCGGCCGTATTTCTCGTCACACTCCCTCGACTGGTCATCATAACCTGTCGGAATAGGGGAAAAAACACCCAAAGCCGTTTTGTTAGTCTTCACTAAGGGGAAGACTCGCGGGGTCCGAACTGGCGAAAGGCCCCAGCTAAAGAAGAACTGATGGAATATGCGTAGCTTGCGGATCTAACATATAGAATAAGAGAGCAAGAAGAACATATGTTTATAGAAGATTGGGAAATGTTTACTGAATATATGGGGGGAACTATCTACACTTGAAAATGTTGGCAGCATTAAAATACAGTGGTACCTTGCTTCTTGAACTTAATCTATTCCAGAAGTCCATTCGACTCCCAAAACAGTTTAAAAACCAAGGCGCCAATTCCGATTGGCTGCAGGAGTTTCCAGAACTCAAGCAGAAGCTGCGCGGAAGTTCGGCTTCCAAAAAATGCTTCCAGCTTTGCGGCGTTTGGAAGCTGTTTTGTTAGGCAACTAAGCCATTCAAAAACCAAGGTACGACTGTAAATTCTACAGTGTAAACAAATTTTAAGGTTGTTTAATGAATATTTCAAATTGTAAAATAGAAAACTTAGTAAAAATCATACATGAATTGGTGAAAAGTGAAAAGCTATTGCAAGAATACCAAAAAAATTACACACTACAGTGTAATAACCTAGGAAAGAAACATTTCCTGCCATTATTTATCAACGCAGGGGGCTGGATTAGATAACAATTGGGGATCCCTCCAACTGTACAATTCTATGAAAGAGTTACCCAAGGATGGGCTTTGTGACCTGTGATTTTTTACTAAAGTGTAAAGTGGTGCGTGTTGGGGCAAAAAAAAAATCCAAATTTCGTATCTGTCTATCTATGCACTTACTGGGTCTGAACTGGCGACGATGTACCATAAACAAGACCATGGGGCTGTAGTGGATAGTTTGATTAAGATGTTTACCCAGTGCATGGGGGGAAAATAAAATAAAAAGGGGAATTTCCATAAACAGTTCTGGCTCTGGCCTTGCCCACCTCTAGCTAAATTTTCTTAAATACAAGGTGTGACTGGAAAGTTGGGTGAATGGTCACAGAAATCGGACAGCGAGAAATATTCAAACATACAATTGGCATCGGAAACCCACAAAACGTTCATAATTGTGTACGGAGATGAAGCTGTAACTCGAAAGACGGTGTATGAGTGGTTTAAGGTTTCCATGAAGGGCAGCAAACTATTGAAGTGACCCTCCGTCTGGATATTGATACGGGATCGGTGTTTGTCCATCCGAATGATGGCGGAAGAATTGCATATTCCACGTGAAACTGTTACTGAGGTTACTGAGTTGTCCCACCCTCCATATTCTCCCAATCTGGCCCCATTGGATTACTTCCTTTTTCCAAAACTGAAATCTGAAAGGGCACAGATTTCCCAACATTTCACACGTCCAAGCTGCTGTGACGAGGGAACGGAAAGCAGTACAAAAAGAGGACTTGGAGATCCTGGGCCACAGGGAGGTTAGGCTGGCCTCAACCAGAGCCAGGGCTTTTTCGGCTGTGGCCCTGATCTGGTGGAACGCTCTGTCCCAAGAGACCAGGGCCCTGCGAGACTTGACATCTTTCTGCAGGGCCTGCAAGACCCAGCTGTTCCACCAGGCCTTTGGCCAGGGCACCAGGTCTTCTGTAATCCTCATAGAACTCTAGCCCAATGGTTGCCATTAATTTGACTCTGAATTCATTTTAGAATGAATTGATTTTAGAATGTATTTCAATTAATTGATTGTGATTTTATGTAAACTGTGTTGTTTTTACTGTTTTTAGCCGCTCTGAGCCCGGCTTCAGCTGGGGAAGGCGGGATATAAATAAATTTATTATTATTATTATTATCCAGAAGTTTCCAACAGTTCTACGAACGTTGTCAGCGGTGCAATGTATCCAAGGCGGCTTACTTTGAAGGCCTATAAGGCCTGTGTGTTCAAATATTTCTCGCCGTCCGATTTCTGTGACCATTCACCCAACTTTCCGGTTGCACCTTGTAGAATAAATCACTGGCTTCATCCCCCAAAAGATCACCCTTCGAGGGGATGTCGCTTTGACAAAAAACAGTAGTTCCCTAACCCTTCATCCTGTCTCTTACCAGGGCGGGTTTGTCGCTGGGCAGCGATTTCAGTGTCGTCTCCTCCACAAAGCAAAGTTTGTTCGTTGCTCTCCAGACAAGATTCCTGCTGCTCCTTTTGCCCAAGCTGACTTTCTGGGAAGTTTTCCTGCCTGTGACTTGGGGGAACATCCTCTTCCTCTGGCTCCACAGATGTTCCAGTTGGATCTGCCTCCTTCAAATCCGCTTCTGCACATTTCTCCTCCTTCCTTACATTCATCCAACCTTTTGTTGCTGGAGAAAAGAAGCAGGGAGGTCATTCGCTTGGGCGTAAATGGAAATGTGGAATTAAGAAATGAAGACCAGGAAACTGCCATTGCTTGCCAGTTCATATCCGGGGCTAACTGAAGGCGCTCACGCTAGTGTTTAAAGCCTTGAATGACTTGGGACTTAGGCCCCAGATATTTGGGAGAGTGTCTCCTTCCCTACTGACCCTCTCGGCTGTTTAGATCAGTTTAGATCAGTTGTTTGACGTCCCTAAGATGTTTGTGACAGGGGTCTGTGGCAGTTCCTGAGATTCCCTCCCCACAGAGTCTCGCCTGGTGCCTATTTCAATTTTTTCTAAGAGGTTTACAAGAAACGTTAACATTGTCCATAAAAGGTTAAAATATTTCGAAGCGGTTCATTTTTTAAAAAATGCATATAAAAAATAACAAACTGTAGGTTGTCTTATACACGGGCAATCTCCTCCCCCCTATTTTCTTAAATTGGAATCCCTAAAAATATGGAGCGTCTTATACATGGAAAAATACGCTTTTTCTTTTCTAAAAAAAAGATTTAAGAATCTTCAAATTCCTGTAATATAAAAGTAGCAGCTCCGGTGTGTGTGTGTGTGTGTGTGTGTGTGTGTGTGTGTGTGTGTGAATACAGCCATAGCTGAAGCCAAACCACAAACCTCCACAAGCCCAAAATCTAAACCCACAAGCAACCTTACCCAACAGTTCAGCATGCCTGCTGACTTGCTCCTCTTTGGCCTGCTGGCCAAACACACTCCACCCGAGGTCAGACAAAGTCTGTTCCGCCTCAGAGGACTCCACCGCAGCCGCCGCCTCTTCTTCCAGTTGATTCAGCCCCTGAAATTGCACCAAGGATATACAGTATGTGACGTTAACATATGAGAGTGCTGGAGGTGAAATAGTTAAACAGGTTACCCAATCAGAACCCAGGGGGTGGAGTCAGAGGGACTATAAAACCAGCTCTGGGAGGGGTGAAGGGAGGAGTTTGTTGGGAGTTGGGTGGTTGGTTGAAGTGGGAGTGAATTGGGATAGAGTCTGTGGGTAGGTTGAGTTAGTGTAGTGAAATAAGCTGAGTCAGGAACAGTTAGGAGCTAGGAAGACAACTAAATATCTCAGAGGTGGTTTAGTGAGTGAGCGCAGGTAGCGGAAGTTCTAGGTCTGGATAGGCACCCCATGATTGCAATTGACTGAGACCGTTTATGAAACCACAAGCTTGTTAAACTGCAATAAATAAACAGAAGTTTATGTTCCAATTTAACCCTGACTGGACTCAGTATTGTCCCAGGTAGGGCCTGGGTGGTGGCAGCGAGAAATCAAGTGGTAGCACAGGGATCAATAGACGGTGAAACGTCCGGGGACCCTGTGTGATCGCCACAATATCTTTTTAGCGCGGAGAAACAAGATGAGACTGAGAGGATGACTCCGATGCATGACTCCAATGTCAGCTCAGAGCCACGGAAACCGAAGCACTTACTTATTGGAGTAACGAATAAATCATGTTGCAAAACAAGGTTGAGTTGCAAGAATCAGAAAGGGACAAGTCAGCGTATGTGAAGGACGTGCAGCCGTGCACGAGAATAGTGAAAGGTGATGATTGGAGCAACTACAACACGCTTTGGATTTTGCAAGGCGTTTGAAAAACTGATATATGCATACATTAAATGTACACAACATAACCCCCCCCCCATTACAATATGCTGCAATATGTTAGGGTTGCCATACATCCGGAATTTCCAGGACATAGCCGGAGTACTGCAGTCGGAAGCAGTGTCCGGGCGCAAATTGTTGAAAAGTCCGCAAACATCCAGACGTAGGGAAACCCATCTTGGAAGTCTAGAATTTCCTTTAAAATAGCTCAAAATAGCTCAGCTTTGGCCAAAAAGGAAAAAAAGAAAAAGAAAAGAAAGCTCAACAATTTTGCCAAAAGTTTTTGAAACATAGCAACCCTACAACGTATAATGCTTCAGAGAACACCTTGTGAACTCATGGATACAGTGGTACCTCGGGTTAAGAACTTAATTCGGTCCAGAGGTCCGTTCTTAACCTGAAACTGTTCTTAACCTGAGGCACCACTTTAGCTAATGAGGCCTCCTGCTGCCACCGGAGCACGATTTCTGTTCTCATCCTGAAGCAAAGTTCTTAACCCGAGGTACTACAGTGGTGCCTCGCAAGACGAAATTAATTCATTCCGCAAGTTTTTTCTTCTTGCGAGTTTTTCGTCTTGCGAAGCACAGTTTCCCATAGGAATGCATTGAAAATCAATCTATGCGTTCCTATGGAAACCGACTTCAGACCAGGTCCGGGGACAGTCTGTTCCCCGACCTCTTCTGAAGGCTGGGGGGGGGGACAAGGGCTTTTCTTCCCACCCCCAGCATTTTAAAAAACCCCGGCGATCTTAAAATGCTGGCGGGCGGCAGCGAAGCCTCCGCTGCCGCCCGCCAGCATTTTAAAAAACCCCGGGACAGCGGGGGACTTCTCCCCTGTCCGGGGCGATTTTAAAATGCTGGCGGGCGGTCCTGGACCTCTTCTGAAGGCCGGCGGGGGGCGAAAGTCTTTGCTCCCCCCCGCCTGCCTTCAAAAGCCGTCCGGGATAGCGGAGAAACGAAGGCTGGCGGCGGGAGGAGGTCTCTCTGCCCCGCCGCCAGCCTTCGGAGGAGGTCCGAGGACAGTGGGGAAGACGCGCTGCGCTTCCCCGCTGTCCCGGAGATTTCCCTATGGGCTTTCGTCTTGCGAAGGAAGCCCATAGGGAAATTCGTTTTGCGAAGCGCCTCCAAAACGGAAAACCCTTTCGTCTAGCAGGTTTTCCGTCTTGCGAGGCGCTCATCTTGCGAGGCACCGCTGTATTTCTGAGTTAGCGGAGTCTGTAACCTGAAGTATATGTAACCCGAGGTACCACTGTATTTACATTGGTGAGTTCACGAGATTTGTTTCAGAACCTGGGAATCTTAAGGGGGAAAAACAGCAACGTGGTTTCCTGGAAAATGTTCTGATACCCATTTTTTTACCACCCCCTTCTCTCCGCCACCCTCTTTATGGAAAAATACATTTCCAGAAATAGACAGGGAAAATGTCCCACCACAGAATGCCATCTGGACCTCTTCCCTTCTACATCAGGACAGGTGAAAACCTGCCCTGCCCTGATCCCGGGCTGCTCAGGATCCCCCTCACCGCCCCACCTGTGGTCGCTGCCTTGCGGCCTCTGGCTGCCTCTGCAGGTAATCCTCGGCCAGGGCCACCGCCTGGGAGCAGGTCTCTGGGCTCCGTCCCTTGACCCAGTCCTGGACCTCCGCCGGCAGGACGGTCAGGAGCTGTTCGAGAAGGAGCAGCTCCAAGATCTGCTCCTTGGTGTGCTTCTCGACCCTTAGCCACCCGTCGCAAAGCTCCAGCAGCCGGCGGTGAGCCCCTCTCGGCCCCTCGGCCTCCTGGTAGCAGAAGCGCCTGAAGCGCTGGCGCCGAGTCTCCCTCCGGAAGCTGTCCCATTGCAAGATGGCCGCCTTCACTTTCCCATAATCCTCTCTGTCCCGGCCCTCCAGCCGGCTAACGGCCCGCTCGGCTTCCCCGCTGAGGGCTGGCAGGAGTCGGGCCGCCCACTCTTCCCGGGGCCACCGGCAGGCTTTGGCCACTTGCTCGAAGGAGACCAGGAAGCCCTTGGTGTCGTCCCAGGGGGCGGGCTCCTCCGGCAACTGGGGGACCCCCCAGCCAGAGTGGGGAGACTCCAGGGTCCTCAGGAACTCCTGCAGCTGGGCATCCCAGTGCCGGTGCAGCCTGTCCTCTGGCTCCTGCTTAATCTGTTCTCCGGATCTCCGGTTTTGTCCTCTAGGGCTGGGGGCATTTCCTGCTCCTGCCCCCCTTTCCCACACAGGCGGTGCGACGTCCATTTCCTCGCCAGCCACTCTTTCGCAGTCTCTAGGTCAAATAAGAGGGGAATGGGGTCAGGCGCAGCAGCGGCTGAGGCTGCCACAAGGCACTTCTCCTGTGAGGGGAAAAACAGAAATGAGAGATGTTGTATACAAAATCTGCCCTTCTTCCCTTATGGGGTATCCAAGAGCACATATAGAGTCCTTAAGTGGGTTCCTTATCGGTCGGAGAAAATAAGAGAGGCCAACCAGAGAATATTGAGAAGCGAAGCAGCTAGTAAGCCTGACCTTTATTGAACTGTTGCAACAGGGTGCCCCCTTCACATACAGGAGGACGGAGGAGGACCCAGAACCCAGGTGTGCCCGCCCTTATATGGACATTTTAAATTGCCCGCCCTGGAGTCCAAGACCACCCCCAGAAACATCATACATACATCACAGAAAAGGTGGTCTACAACAGAAATCTGAGTGCGTTGTTTATCTCCTGTCTGGCAGGTTACCTGTTAATGGTCACCTGACTGGATTACCTGGGGAGCCTGGCCAGTCTTTTGTAATGATAAATACTTAGTTCCTGAGCCAGGTCATGGGCTCACCCTATTCATACACAGACATACCCTTAAGACAGGATTTGTGAAGGAAAGGACAATGGGGAAGCTTTTCCATTTTCCTTCAACCTTGCAGAGAAATATTTGAGGTCAATTTGGGAGACACAAATGGTTTCAGGACGTTTTCTGTGGGGTTTCAGACATGTGGTTTATATATGCAGTTATGAACATTTATCTCATTCAGCAGCTTGGCTACTGCGTCTCTTGAGCCTTCAAAACCCGTAAAAAACCACCTTTAAGACCCTAATAATTTAAGTATCAGAATCCCCTTACGTACACAAGATCCCTATAATAAAACTCCCATCGTAGCGGAAAGGTCAGCCTGTCCCCCTCATGCCTGAACGTACTCTAAACACCACTCTTATTATTATTTATTGAGCTTATATACCACCCTATACCCAGAGGTCTCAGGGGGGTTCACAGAAAAGATCACAACATATATAATCAGAATAAAAACAACAACCCAATAACACACACATCCCGTGACGAATACTAGGAGGTTTTTGAAAGCATTCCGAGTGAATTGGCACCAATGGAAAATCAAACACGTACAGATCCCTAAACTTGGCTTTTTCCTCAAGTGGGGCCACGGGTTCGCCATTATTATTACACTAAAGGTAAAGGTAAAGGGACCCCTGACCATCAGGTCCAGTCGTGGCCGACTCTGGGGTTGCGGCGCTCATCTCGCTTTATTGGCCGAGGGAGCCGGCGTACAGCTTCCGGGTCATGTGGCCAGCATGACTAAACCGCTTCTGGCGAACCAGAGCAGCGCACGGAAACGCCGTTTACCTTCCCGCCGGAGTGGTACCTATTTATCTACTTGCACTTTGACATGCTTTCGAACTGCTAGGTTGGCAGGAGCAGGGACCGAGCAATGGGAGCTCACCCCGTTGCAGGGATTCGAACCGCCGACCTTCCGATCGACAAGTCCTAGACTCTGTGGTTTAACCCACAGCGCCACCTGCGTCCGTTATTATTACACTATTCTTGCATTAAAACAACATTGACTTACTTTGAATAAACATACACAAATTTATTGTTAACATAACAGACAGATGATTTAAGGATCTTGATAATTTGATAATATGCAGAGAATAATATGTGTTGAAAAACCAGAGAGAGGAACTGAGGGAAGTCGGGGGAGGGAGGGAGGGTTCCTTTTTGGGGAGGGGGGAGGGGAAAATGGGGGGAATGAAAAGAAGATATGTTTTGATAACTTGTTATGTTGAAATTCTCAATAAAAACTATTTTAAAAACCACAACATTAACTTACATCTGTACAATAACTATTTACAAATGGCAGCCATACGAAATTGGATCTGCTGCAGGAAGCCCTGCTAACTGGTGCAAATTCAGCTTTACAGACTTGGCAATTTTATTTTTATTTGTAAAGGGGGTAGAAAGAGGCAGGCGTGCAGGAAAAAAAGATTTTGGCAATCCTATTGAACCCAATACGAAGGGTTGGACTAGATGACCCTCATCCGCCACGGCCAGCATGGGAATGATGGGAATTGAAGTCTAGCAATATACGCCCTGGACTAAATTATAGCACAGCTACTCCTTTGGAAACTTATTACGAAACCAACTGTTATGACACCCGCTCCTTTGCCTCCTCCTTCCTTGCCAGCCAGGGACCTCCTGCTTCTGCACTCCCACTCACCCCGTCCCTGTTCCTTCCACGGACTTCCCAAGCCCACAATTGAGTCCATTTACTTCAATAGTGCCTACACTGGCAGGCAGCGGCTCTACAGATCTGGCTTATCAGGAGACACCGGGGATCGACCCTGAAACCTGCACGCAGAGCAGATGCTCTACCCACTGAACCTCAATCCCCTTCCCAAGGAGCGCGCAGGAAGCCGCCTCCTAGGGAGATGCACTGTTAGGTCCACCCAGCTCAGCACCGTCTGCACTGACCAGCAGCTGCTCCCCAATACAGCTGGCGGGGGAGGGAGGAAGAGCCCGCTCCCAGCCTTACCTGGAGGCGGCGGGATTTGAACCCGGGACCTTCTGCATGCAAAGGTGTCCTCTGCGACCAACTCCCAGCTGGAGGGTTTAATTAAAATAAACCAGTTTCCGGAGGAGGGCTGGGAGGAGGAGGAAAGCTCAGCCCAGCTTTGCAAAGGGGGACGAATCAAAGCGGAGGCGCGCTTTGTTTCCATTGCACAACGCGCGGCTCACTCCGGAGTGAAGCCGGAATGGATGGCAGGCAGTTCTGCAGAGGGGCGTCCTTTCTAACCTCCAGATCGCCATTTCCAGGGAGGGAGGGAGGGAAGGGGATCCCCCACCCCAAATCCTGGCTTTGCGCCCACCCCAAAAAAGCTCCCGCTTTCTGCACCTGGTGCAAAAGCCTTTTTATTTCTCCACCTGCAAGGGGGTCTTTTGGGGGAGCAGCCTCTTTAACAGCCGCCTGCTTCTGGCTCTCCGTTGAACAGGCGAAGAAAGTGGGGGGAAAGCGGGTCTGATATGCTGTATGAAACCCCCACCCATCCCTTTGGCCCCCTATATGGCAGCGCAGGCACTTGAGAGCCGGAAGTGAGAGCACCAAGCCGCCCGAATGCTTTCCCCTTCCCTCTTTGGCCAAGGAGCCGCCACCTTTCATTGCGCGCAGGCGCGCGCTCTCTAGTGGTCCGCCTAGAGCAGTGTTGCCTGCACGGGCCGGCAGCGGCAGTTCCAGACCGGTGACGTCCTGACTTCTTTGGAATTGCTGCGCTTTGGCATATGGGGCACAGCAGGCTGCCCCGGTACTGAGCTAAACCCTGGCATCCAACCGGGCTCAGTATTGCCCACACGGACTGGCAGCTACTTTCCCATGTTTCAGCCCTACCTGGCAAAGGCAAAGCAGGCGGTCCTCTTCCTTTACAGGGATGTAGTCACACCATTGGTCCACCTAGCTCAGTAGCGCCAGCACTGACTGGCAGGCGCTCACAAGGATTTCAAAGCAGCCTTCTGTCCCAGCCATACCTGAAGATGCCAGGTATGCATGGAAAGCAGGGTCTCTTTCCCTTGGCCCTTCCCCAGACACTCCACCCACATAATCCCACCTGCTTATTCTCTGCCCCCAAATTCATGATCATTTTGAGGGTTCCCTACCTGAAAAGTTTTCCCCCAGTGCTCTGTGTGATTGGGTTTCTTTCCTCTTGGTTTTCACATACCTATGGGGGGGTTTATGGCCTGTTTGCCGGTGCGGTTGCAAGATAAAGCAGTTAACATACGCTTCAGGTTACATACGCTTCAGGTTACAGACTCTGCTAACCCAGAAATAGTACCTCGGATTAAGAACTTTGCTTCAGGATGAGAACAGAAATAGTGCTCTGGCAGCGCAGCGGCAGCAGGAGGCCCCATTAGCTAAAGTGGTGCTTCAGGTTAAGAACAGTTTCAGGTTAAGAATAGACCTCCGGAACGAATTAAGTACTTAACCCGAGGTACCACTGCATAGGGTTGCCATATTTCAGAAAGTAAATACCAGGACACCCTGAAAGTGACTGAGCTTTTTAAGACAAACCCCAAAGTTTGTTGAGCTCTTTTCTAGAAAAATGGCAATTTTTCGATTGACTAGCCAGGACAGATCCAGGACAAAGCACCACCTTTCAGAAATTGCCCCCACCCCGGACATCAACTCCACCTTTAAAATCCCAGTAATGTCTAGGGAAAATCCCTAGTACATAATAATATTTAAGAACGTAAGAACCTGCTGGATCAGGGTTCAATGGCCCAACTAGTCATGGCAAGGGTGCCAACTTGAATAAAATCTTTTTTGGGGGGATGATGGGGTGCACATACAACATTCAAATGGCAATGCCCATCAATTTTATTTTATTGTGGGGCCAAAGAGGAAGAAAGGCCCCTAGGGGTTGGCTCCTATGAGTCATGGAATCAGAGAATTGCAGAGCTGAGAGGGATTCTGTTCTCCGCTGGCCAACAAGATGCTGTGGGAAACTCGAAAGCAGGACCTGAGCACGAGAACCCTCTCCCTTCTTTTTTCTAGACATTGATAGCCCACTCCTCCGTGAATTTGCCCCATCCTCTTTGGAAGCCAGCCATACTGTGGGAGGCAGTTCCACAGATTAACTCTGCGCCACACAAAGGACTTTCTTTTACCACTGTTGTGGCTACATTCACAACTAATCTCGCAGCCCGACCATCTGACAAAGAGGGAACAATGGAAAATCTGTTGTTTATTACTATCACATTACTTTAAAAAGGTAAAGGGGCCCCTGACCATTAGGTCCAGTCGTGACCGACTCTGGGGTTGCGGCGCTCATCTCGCTTTATTGGCCGAGGGAGCCGGCATACAGCTTCCGGGTCATGTGGCCAGCATGACTAAGCTGCTTCTGGCGAACCAGAGCAGCGCACAGAAACGCTGTTTACCTTCCCGCCGGAGCGGTACCTATTTATCTACTTGCACTTTGACGTGCTTTCAAACTGCTAGGTTGGCAGGAGCAGGGACCGAGCAACGGGAGCTCACTCCATTGCGGGGATTCATACTGCCGACCTTCTGATTGGCAAGTCTTAGGCTCTGTGGTTTAACCCACAGCACCACCCACGTCCCTTACTTTACTTTACTTTACTTACTTTAATAGCCCCCACCAAAAAGTATTAATTGAAATAAAACACACCCACACACCCAAAAAACCCCAACACCATGAGGTGGGTGAAACTTTTATTTCAGCATGGAAAACAAAACATTTTTCTTCAGGAGGAGGTTCATGTCATTGCGGAGGTGCAAAATCTTTGGCCCACCAAATGTCGCTTGAACTACAACTCCCATCAGACCCAGCAAACATGGCTGACAGCCAGGCCTGCTCCTTGCCGTTTCAAGGGAACCTCTTGCAAATTTAATAATGAAAAATTCAATTTCGTTAAAGGACTACAAAGGGACGAACCACACAATAAGTTCATTTGTGGGTGATGCCGCACTTAGGCTGACTCCAGCGTCCTCCGGCCTTGGGTGCCCAAATGTTGTTGGACTACAACTCCCATCATCCCCTGGCATCTTGGCCAATGATGAGGGATGATGGGAGTTGTAGTCCAACAGCAAGGTTGAAGACGATTATACAGATTTGAGCAGCTCACAGCTGGAAACTCTTAATTTAGTTGCTACATATGATTTGGGGGGCAGGAGGGGATTACATTAAAAAAATATGAAAAGTTTTATGCATTAACATGCCCAGCTGAACATATAATAATAATCTGAATTTAAACTACGCCAAAAAAAAAATACCAAAAGCTTTGTAATGGTTATCCCCCCCAAACTAGAAATTGCTGAAAAATGGGAGTTTAGTTCAGTAACTTCTGGAGAGTGTGAGGTTTGAGAAATCTGGCTTAAGTCTGTTCTACTCTAGATCATGATTTCAAATTCCCAGTGACTATGAGATTTAGGAACATGATCTTTGTGCCACATGGCAAAGGGGGATATTGCTGCAGGGCGAAACCAGCGGGTTCAATCTGCTCTGTTGCACATACCTTGGTGAGACTTGAGAACAGATGAGAGAGGATAGCACAGGGCCCTCCAGCATAGCTGTCAACTTACAGATTTGAAAATAAGGGACCAGCGGTCTCGAAAATAAGGGATCAGCAGCCAAAATAAGGGATTTTAGTCAACCAGCAGCCAAATGAAGCCTCAAGTGGTGGTTCCCACAGCGCAGCAACCAGGCAAAGGGGATGCAGTAAGGAAAACCACCGTCACCTTTCTGCTGGGAAGCGCTGAGCAAAGGCGAGTCCCCAGGCAATGCGGCCGATTTGAGTGGCACAAGGCATGCAAGCTCCATCCCCCAGTCGTTCTTAGACTCCTTATTGGGTGAGCAATGCAGCCAAGCAACACAGTTGGAGCCTCCCTCCTCCCTGGCCGGCCGGCAGGGAGGGAGGGAGGGAGAGGAGCTGCTTCCTTTGAAACCTGGGGAATTTAAGGGACATCATCAATAAGGGACAGCAGCGGGACATGTCGCTGGGATAAGGGACTGTCCCGTCAAATAAGGGATGCTTGACAGCTATGCCCTCAGGTGTTGCTGAACTACAACTCCCAGAAAGCAATGGTGGGAGTTGTGGTTCAGCAACATGGGGAGGGCACCAAAGGTCCCCCTGCCACCTTCCAACCCACGACTTCCAATCGGTATCTGTGATGTACAAATCTGAGCAACTACAACTCCCATCATCCCTGACCAGTCAATGGATGATGGGAGTTGTAGTCGAACGAAAGCTGGGGGGACATGAGGTTGCCAGAACACTGAGCCCCAAAGGAAGGAGGGAGGGGAAACTTTGGCCCTCCCAAAGGTTTCGGAACTGCGACTCCCATCGGGCGCAGCACAAGCACATGGGAGTTGTAGTTCAGCAACAGCTGCAGGGCTAAAGGTGCCCTGCACCTGTATAAAGGAAGCAAGCTCTCACAATAAGTGGCGACTCTTACCCAAAATGGGAGCCGTCCCCTGTGAAAGAAGCATCCTGGATTTGGAGGCCAACTTTCTGTGCGACTTGCGCCGTGAGTGAAGTTGAACATGCAGGCGGCTGCAGAGCCCCAGCGATTTCAGAGAGCTCTGGCAAGCACAAAATCATTCCCTGTGTGTAGACACTGCTGCTGCTCCTCTTTCTGGGCCACTTCCCGTCTGGCTAAAAAACAGAAACGCGAACTCGAAGTCCCACATCGGAGTCCTCTCTCCTGTTGTGCACGGATCCTTTCCCATGTTTGGAATTCCCACCGCCCCATTTTCTCTCTCCCAGGTCTGCTCAACAAAGCACCTCGACTCAAAACTAATTCTCTCTCTCTCTTCGCAATTTGGAAAATAATAAAACAGGACCTACCGAGTCCCAGAACTTTCGACCGCTTTGATACAATCGGCAAAGCCAAGCCATAAAGTCTGGACAGCATTATTTTCAGCTTATGTGTAGCAGGTCAACCAAGTTGTATCCCTTGCACGCTACATATCTACCTGCAAGGATTTTTCTTTCTTTTTTTTTCGTGGCGGGGAGGTGGTGTGCACAAAATATTCCCACATCTAAAACACCTCTGCGCTGCAGCCTAGAGTGGTACGGTCTGAGAATTGGTTCCCCCACGCCGCAAAAAAAAAGAAGGAAAAAAAGTGAGATTTCAAGTGGCAGGATGAAAAGCAAGGCAAAAAGCAGTGGGTTCTGGCTTCAGGGAATGGAAAATCAGGTTCGCTGGTGGCTGGTAGGGCGGAACGCTAGGAGCCTAACAGTAGGTGGCGCCACAGCCAATGATAGGCAGAGACAGCGTCAACAGCAGGCAAAGCCAACTCGTTTTGTCCCCATCTCCCTCCTCCCTGCTGGGTTCTAAAAGAGCAACATTGAAGGGGAGGAAGGCGACAGGCAGCGCTACCACTGAGGTGGCAGTTGGGGGCTATCTGGGTGCAAACTGAGGTTGGTGGGGAAGTGCCTCGTTTGCTCCTAATGGGCTGTTTCCCGCTGATCAGGTCCCTCTTTGTAGGTTTCAAAGGCTTCTCTTAGCACTCTGAGCACCCCAAGCCTGGAGGGCTCCTCCCTCCTCTATCTGGAAAAGGGGTACACATTGAGAAGAGCCAAGTGGCCAGGACATGACAGGCGTTTTGGAGAGACTTGCTTTCTCCCCACCTGCATTTTCAGGCACCTTCGTTTATGCACTCGGAACAAACCTTCTTCCCAGAGCAAGCGATTTGCCATGACTTTTGGCCCAGGTGGGCTTGTGACACTCCTGTTCACTTTTAAAGGGGTTTATATTGATCGGTGCCCGACTCTAGTAGCGGTGGGAAAATAATGCATCAATATTCCAGCACAGCTGCCCGAAAAATGCCCCTTCTAGAGAAGACTTTGGCTAACGAAATGCCAAAAGACCCAAGTCCTATTATGAAAAGGGGAAGAGAGGAGGATTCGATTATCTACTAAGGTCCATCCAACCGATTTTTCAGGAGTTTCCTTCTGCGTGGATTCTCTGATGACTAATGAGGTTTGAGCTCTGAGTGAAGCTTTTCCCACAGTCCAAACACCGGTACGGTTTCTCCCCTGTGTGTGTCCTCTCGTGTGCCACGAGGCTAGAGCTGCCACGAAAGCTCTTCCCACAGACGGAGCACTGAAAGGGCTTCTCGCCGGTGTGGATTCTCTGATGTGTAATGAGGTGTGATTTGTAGCTGAAGCTTCTCTCGCACACCACGCACTGGAAAGGCTTCTCTCCCGTGTGGATCCTTCTGTGCGCGCTGAGGCGGGAGCTGACGCTGAAGCTCTTCCCGCATTCCCCGCACTGGTATGGCTTCTCGCCCGTGTGGATCCTCTCGTGGCTGACTACTTCCGAGCTGCGCAGGAAGCTCTTCCCGCAGAACGAACACCGGTAGGGCTTCTCCCCGGTGTGGGCCCTCTCGTGCGCGAGGAGATCTGAGCTTTCGCTGAAAGTTTTCCCACAGTCCAGACATATAAACGGCCTCTCGCCCGTGTGGCTTCTCTGGTGCTTCCTGAGCCGCGAGCTCACGCTGAAGGTTTTCCCGCACTCGGAGCACTCGTATGGCTTTTCCCCCGTGTGGATTCTCTGGTGGCTGTTGAGGTACGAGCTCTGGCTGAAGCTTTTCCCGCACTCCAAGCACTTGTACGGCTTTTCCCCCGTGTGGATCCTGTGATGCGTGATGAGGTTCGAGATGTCGCTGAAGCTTTTCTCGCACACCGAGCACTGGTAAGGTTTGTCGCCGGTGTGGATTCTCTGATGACTAACAAGGCCCGAGTTGCGCCGGAAGCTCTTGCTGCAGTACAGACATTTGTACGGCTTCTCTCCCGTGTGGGTTCTCTCATGAGCGATCAGTCCCGACTTCACACTGAAGCTCTTGGCGCAGTGTGAGCACTTGTAGGGCTTCTCTCCCGTGTGCGTCCTGCGGTGGGCAATGAGGCTCGAGCTGACGCTGAAGCTCCTCCCGCAATCGGAGCACGTGTACGGCTTCTCTCCCGTGTGGGTTCTCTCGTGAACGATAAGGCGCGACCGGAGGCTGAAGCATTTGCCGCACACCGAGCACTTGTGAATTTTCTCTCCGGCTTGGTCTGAGCCCTGACTGAAGTTTTCTTCGTAGACGATGATCTTCATGGGCGGCTTGCCCTCACCCGTCTCCTTCTCTGCTGCGGCTACACCGAGATCTTCGTAACCACCCACCAATGGGATGGATTTTTGCAGCCTCTTCCTGGGTGGCTTTTTCGACGGCTTATCTGATTGCGGCGGCCTTTCAGGTAGGTCTTCCAGTTTGTCAAAGAGAGGGAAGGTCTCCTCAAGGCCTTCATCGGATGCCTCACACAGCCCCTCGTGCTCCCTGTTCTCTGGCTGGGGGCTCCCTTTGTTGTTCTCACTAGGGCACAGGTTGCCTAAAAGGAACAGTTTTGGGGATTAGCACTGATAATCATAATCGTCTGTTTTATCTGAATGCCACTTTCTCACAGAACGGTGTCCAAAATGGCACAAATCATATCAAGTGAGCAGTAAGTGTACTTTTCTGTAAGTCGGAAGGTGCCCAGAGTGGCTGGGGCGGCCCAGTCAAATGGGCGGGATACAAATAATAAAATTACAGTGGTACCTTGGTTGTCTAACTTACTCCATTCCAGGAGTCCGTTCGACTCCCGGAACCGTTCGAAAACCAAGGTGCGGCTTCCGATTGGCTACAGGTGCTTCCTGCACTCAATCGGAAGCCGTGTCGGACGTTTGGCTTCTGAAAAGCGTTCACAAACCAGAACACTTCTGGGTTTTCAGCGTTTGGGAGCCAAAACATACGCGTACCAAGGTGTTCGAGAATCAAGGTACGACTGTATTACTATTATTATTAAGTTCCAAACATATCAGAAACAATTACAAATCATCAGTCTCAGTCACAGACCTGATAGAAATTATCACAACATCAGCAAGAACCCCAAAACAAATTTAAGAATCAAAATCAACGGCTTGGCTCTGGGACTTCAGAAGTTCAGAAACTAATATAGAGTCAGACCATGGATCTAGTGAGCATAATATTGCCTATGCCAATTGGCAAGATTTCAGGCTGACGTCTCTCCCAGCCTTAGCTGGAGATTCCTGTCTCTCCCCAACCCCCTTCTTTCTTTTCTCTCCCAGCCTTTCCCTCTCTCTCCCCCTTCTCCTCAGTCGGTATAACAGGAGACTCCTGATCTCGGGGTTGTGGGTTCGAGCCCCACATTGGACAAAAACATTCTGGCACTGAAGGGGGTTGGACTTGATGACCGCCATGGTCCCTTCCATCTCTATAATTCTATGATCCTTTCCCAACCTGTCTCTCTCCCCTCCTGTCTCCCCCTTTGTTTCTCTTCTAGCTCTCCGCTTAATGGTTTGGGTCACAGGAAGCATGTTGTGCATGCCAACATCCAAAGGAACCAATTTTAAAATTCAAATGAGTGCAGCGGCACCTTACCTCGTGAAGAACTGTCCTCCGCAGCAGTCTCCTCCTTGACCTCCAGGCCCTGCTGTCTCTGCTCAGGGTCCAAGAGAGCTCCTTTGGCCTTCAGGGACGTCTCACTGGCCTCCTCAAACAATCCCGGCACCTGAAAGACCAGGAAAGAGGCTGAAAGATGCAGCATGGGGGGGGGGGGCAACGCCACAGGCAAAGACAGATTCTAAGCCCACCCTGAACAACTCTCAGACCTCCCTTACCATTCCTTGTTGCTGTTGGTAAACCAGAACAGAAAAATCAGCTTCATTCCCACGACAGGTCGTTATTTATTCATGTTTTTTTTAAAAAAAATATTTCTTGCCTGCCCTTTGTAGTAAGGTCCCAAGGCGGGTTAAAACAATTAGAACACAATATTAAAAAGCAATTTAATATTGGGACCAAAAAACCCCCACACACTTTGAGTGTCAAAACCAAAGGTAAAGAGGTGGGTCTTCAACGGTCTCCAAAAGCTGTGCAATGGGGGTCGCTTGTGCAGAGGATGCACTGAAGGGCCACCCCACAGAATGCCCTCTCCTGGGCTGCCACCCCACTAACTTCTGAGGGAGGAGGAACAACCAAGTGGGTCCCCTCTGCCAACCTCAGCACCCAAGAGGGTCTGTAGGGAAGGAGACGCTCTTTCAGATATTTGGGCTATATCCAATGCAAGTGCTGTTGAGAATTCTATCTGTTATATTTCCTCTGCGCAATCAGAACGGATTTCAGGAACCAAAAAGTCGTATTGAAAAAAGTCGACTTTCGCGCCGTCTAGCCCCACAAATGGCCACTAGGTATTTCGTTTTGGCGACTGTAACCGTGGTTTGAGGAGCCATTTGGCGCCCAGCTTCCCCAGAGTGGCTGAGGAAACCAAGCCAGATGGGCAGGGAATAAATAATAAAATTATTATTATTATTATTATCTGACTTTCTAATACAGTGGTACCTTGGTAGTTGAACGGCTTGGCTCCTGAACAAATCGGCTCCCAAATGCCGCAAACCCAGAAGTGAGTGTTTGCAAATGTTTTTTGGAAGCCTAACATCAGTGCTGGAAGCTCCCACAGCCAATCGGAAGCCATGCCTTGGTTTTTGAACCATTTTGGGAGTCGAATGGACTCCCAGAATGGATTAAATTTGAGAACCAAGGTACTGCAGTACTGCTTCCGCCCCAAAGGATCCTGGGAGCTACAGTTCGCTTGGGATGCTGAGAGTTGTTAGGGGACCCCTATATTCCTCACAGAGCTATGGGGTGGTGTAACAATCAATCAATGTAAGGCAATAAGAGGTCCGTATAGTTAAAGCTATGGCTTTCCCAGTAGTGATGTATGGAAGTGAGAGCTGGCCTATAAAGAAGACTGATCGCTGAAGAATTGATGCTTTTGAATTACGAAGAGTCGGACACGACTAAACGACTAAACAACAAAGGCAATAAGAAATAAACCTAGATTGATAAATATCTGAAAGAGCGTCCTCTTCCCTACAGACCCTTTCGGGTGCTGAGGTTGTGGAGGTACTTGCAGAAAGGTTTTGGCTCCCCATGGCCTGGGGAGAGGGAGTGTGGCCAAGGAGGGGGCCTGACAGACAAGTCTGGAGGGCCACATTTGCTTCCTGGGATGGAGGCTGCCTATACCTGGATGAAAGATTTAAGAGACCCAATATCTCACTTGTGCTTCCGGCCTTTCGGGCTCTCGCTGCCTCTGGAGGAAATCCTCGGCCAACATCACCGCCTGGGCGCAGGTCTCCGGGCAGCCATCTTTGACCCAGCTCTGGCTCTCCGGCGGAAGGATGGCCAGGAACTGCTCCAGGATCAGCAGCTCCAGAATCTGCTCCTTGCTGTGCCTCTCCGGCTTCAGCCACCGGTGGCAAAGGAACCAGAGGCGGCTGCAGGCCTCGCGGGGCCCGTCAGCCTCCTTGTATTGGAACAGGCGGAAGTGCTGCCGCTGGACTTCGGTGCTGATGGCGTCGACCCGCAAGATGGCCGCCTTCACCTTCCCATAATCTCCCGCTTCCCTCTCCTCAAATCGCGGCCCTTCCTCTTTCAGGCCCGGAATGAGCTGCGACATCCACTTTCCTGGACGGGTGTCAACAGCCTTCTCAACGGACGTCAAAAAAATATCGTCCCAGCGCGGCGGGTCTGGAAGCCGGGGGTCGTCCGCTTCCGAATGAGACGTCACCACCATCTCCGTGACGTCCCTCGTGCAGACTTCCTTGCGTGCGGCAGCCGCTTCGTTTTTCACCAGAGCAACGTGGTTGGTCACACCGGCGTCCTCAGAAACGTCTGTCTGACTTCTAGGGCCTCCATCGGCCATTTTCTCACCTGTTGTATATAATTTGTATTATATTTTCTGTTTTACATTTTAAAGTACTCCTTAATATATCAATGACGTCCCTTTTTCTCTTTCAATGGTTCATTTAACATATCATAAATACCTGCATATTTAACAAAAACTATACCATTTAGTATTCCATTATTACACCTAAAGGTAAAGGGACCCCTGACCATTAGATCCAGTCACGGACAACTCTGGGGTTGCGGTGCTCATCTCGCTTTATTGGTCGAGGGAGCTGGCATACAGCTTCCGGATAATGTGGTTAGCCTGACTAAACCGCTTCTGGTGAACCAGAGCAGTGTACGGAAACACCGTTTACCTTCCCACCAGAGTGGTACCTATTTATCTACTTTCACTTTGACGTGCTTTCGAACTGCTAGGTTGGCAGGAGCAGGGACCGAGCAACGGGAGCTCACCCGTCGCGGGGATTTGAACTGCCAACCTTCTGATCGGCAAGTCCTAAGCTCTGTGGTTTAACCCACAGCGCCACTCGCATATGTTCTTCTAATTCTCTTATAGTATATGTTAAGTCTGCGAGTTGTGCATATTCTGTCATTTGGGCGCTAACAAAACAAAGGCCACAGTGTTGGCATACATAAATAACCTTTTTTGACACCTGGGAATTTCAGTCTGAATTATCCCCAACAGGAAGGAAAGTACTTTTTGACATTTTTCCCCAATACATTATGGATCATTTCCCCATACACTTTCACCCTTTAACAGGTCCACCACATATGAAAGAATGTACCCTCGACCTCATTGTATCTCCAGCACTTATCTGATTCAGTCTTAGGCATCTTAGCAAGCCCTACTCTGAGTTAAACACCATCTGTAAATCATTTTCAAGAAGTTCTTCTGCCTGCCCATTTTCTCACCTGCCCACTCCGTTGGAAAAGGTTCCTGGAGGCCCAGCGGGGTGGTCCCCACCTCCTCCTCCTCCGAAGCCATTTTCTCTCCCCAGATCGAGGGCAACTTTAGCCCAGCTCGGCTATCTCCACTCCAGATTCAACCCCTTCTGTGTCTTCTTACTAAACGCAGCTGGGTTGGGTGTGAGAAACGGAACTTTTATTAGTTCGGAAAGATAAAATGCCCAACAACAACAACAATAATAATAATAATGAATAGATACGACCTGTGCTTTCCCCAAACAAGTGAAGACCTTTTTTGTTCCAACAGGATTTCTAGCTGGGCAAATGGGGTCTTTACTGCCAGTGTCCCCTTAGAATCTTAGAATTATAGAATCATTGACTTGTAGAATTGGAAGGGACCCTGGGGGTCATCTAGTCCAACCCCCTGCAATGCAGGAATCTCAGCAAAAGCATCCATGACAGATGGCCACCTGACCTCTGCTTAAAAACCTCCAAGGAAGGAGAGTCCACTACCTCCTGAGAGAGGCCATTCCACTGCCGAAGGGCTCTTACTGTCAGAAGTTTTTTCCAAATGAGCCATGGGTTCAAGTCCTACCCTCCGGAGCAGGAGAAAACAAGCTTGCTCCATCTTCCATGGGACAGCCCTTGAGATAGTGGAAGATGGCTATCCTATCTCCTCTCAGTCTCCTCTTTTCCAGGCTAAACATTCCCAGCTCCCTTAACTGCTCCTCATAAGGCTTAATCTCCAGACCCTTGATCATCTTGGTTGCCCTCCTCTGCCCACATTCCAGCTTGTCGACATCCTTCTTAAATTGTGGTGCCCAGAACTGGACACATTATTCCAGGTGTCGTCTGACCAAGGCTCTTACTTCCCTTGATCTGGACACTATACTGGATGTTGATCCAACCTGGAATAGCATTAGGGTTTTTTTTGCTGCTTGACTCGTGTTAGGATTCTTTTGGTCTTGCTTTTTTTAATGTTGGTTTTGTGTCTTTTAACTGTTTTTAATTATTTTGTGTGTAAATCGTCTTGAGGCAGTAGTTTAGAAGGAAATTCATAAAGCAATTGTAATAAAAAATATTAATAATTACAGTTAGATTGATTATTATTATTGGGGTGTAGTCAACTAATTCATTTCATCAGCGCAAGTATTTCCACTTGTGCAATGGAGCCTCCCCCACTTATTCTTCAGATATGGGAAATGTGCAGGGTGTCAGGATTCACAGAATGCTGTGTGAGATAGTAAGTCTGCAGGCTTGAGTTTGCTAGCTGATGCAATCAGCCTGCAATACTTTCTATGGAAGTGATGGGTCAGAAAGACTCAGCAGTAATGTGCTGTCAGTTGATTGGCTGTCATTGGTTTAAAAGGGAAACCTGTCCATCAGTAAGTGTGTGGTGTAGAAGAGTGTGGTCAGAGAGAGAGAGAGAGAGAGAAAGGTCTTCCTATCTGCCTTAAGGTGCAGCCAGGTACTCTGTTTGACTGTATGAACTGCTCGTGTATTATAGCCTGTAGATATTTGTATATATAGCTCACAATAAATATACTGCACTGAAGAACCTGGAATTCTGAGCATTTCTGCTAAAGCGCTGCGGAGAATTCGCGACACAGGGTGCAGACTTGGTGTGAATGGGGGATGTTCCTCTGCCCAAGTAGAAATCCTTCTGCTGATGGAACAAGTTAGCTAGATGCAGCCCATTCGTAAGAATTCTTAGTAATGAATAAAGATTAATAGTCAACAATGAGCCTTTTACATAGCTCAGTCGGTTGAGCATGAGACTCCTAACCTCAGGTTCGAACCCCGTATTGGACAAAAGATGATTGCCTTGCAGGGGGTTGGTCTAGATGACCACGGTCTGCCTTCCAGCTGACAATTCTACAATTCATTTAATCCCACCTGAGGCCAGGCTAGGCGGAGAGGCAACGATCTTCAGAGCTGAGCAAGTATTTAAACCTCAAACCTTCCTGGCTCAGTGGCCCACACTCTTTCCCACCACACCAGACTGGCGACAGCACAGCAACCCTGCGCATCTTTACTCAGAAGCAAGTTCCCCTACAGGCTATAATCTGGAGTGGGAGGGAAGCATTGCAGGGATGCGAATGCATTGTATTCCTGGATAAGATCTCGTGCATCTATTGAAGCGGGCTGCAGTATCCCCGAAGCAGACACCGTCATCAAATCGTTAGCCTTCCAGGTCACACAAGACTCTTTGTTGTCAGGGCTCCCCTCTCTGGAAATGACCGTCCTTGCAGGAATTCTTACATCATTCAGGCATGGACGGTTGGCTGAAATCTCCTCTTTATTATTATTATTATTTGTAATTTCTGTCCTTAATCATCACCATTCTGTCTTTAACCATCATCAATAATAATAATAATAATAATAATAATAATAATAATAATAATAATAATAATAATAATAATTGCACATGCATCTCCCCCAACTCTCCTCCATCAGTCACTCACCTTTTGCAAAGATTGCAAGGTTGCAATCCTTCCTTGCAAGGTGGGTGCAAAACACAGATCCCTGGGAGCTGGATGCACAATTCAGAAGGCGAATCTGCCCTCCCCCCTCCTCGCAACTCCCCTCTTTCTCCTCCCCCTCCCGCCACAGGAAGGAACTCGCCAGCCCCCGAAAGGTCCTCCCCCAGGACCTCGCTCTCCAGTCCCGCCCCCGCCTCTCTAGCAACGGCCCACTCTGTCGCTTTAACCCCTTGCGCGCCTCGCGGCAAAGCAACCCAACCATGCGGGGTCCGCTGTCCCTGCTGGACCCCCCTCGAGAGATGGGGATGGGGAGTAGGTGCCGGCGATGGGCGGGGCCAGAAGCCAAAGGGGGCGGGGCGGTTGGCTGCAAAGTTCCATCTTTTTGTTGCAATGTCCAGCTTCGCACAATAGACTGGTTGCTTTTTTTCTTTCTTTTTTTATTACAAAGGATCGTGGAATTCTAGAGTTGGAAGGGAGCCCCAAGGGTCATCGAGTACAACCACACTGCATTATAATGATGATGATGATGATAATTTATTATTTATACCCCGCCCATCTGGCTGGCTTCCCCAGCCACTCTGGGCGACTTCCAACAAAATATTAAAATACAGTAATGCATCAAACATTAAAAGCTTCCCTAAACAGGGCTGCCTTCGGACGTCTTCTAAAAGTCTGGTAGTTGTTTTTCTCTTTGACATCTGGTGGGAAGGCGTTTCACAGGGCGGGCACCACCACCGAGAAGGCCCTCTGCCTGGTTCCCTGTAACCTTACTTCTCGCAGTGAGGGAACCGCCAGAAGGCCCTCGGCGCTGGACCTCAGTGTCCGGGTAGAACGATAGGAGTGGAGATGCTCCTTCAGATATACTGGATGATGATATATTATTATTTAAACCCCATCTATCTGGCTGGGTTTCCCCAGCCACTCTGGGCAACTCCCAACAGAATAGTAAAAACATGATAAAACATGGATGCTTCGGCTGATATTCGTGCATTGCAGCGGGTTGGACTAGATCAGTGTTTCCCAACCTTTTTTGGGCAAAGGCACACTTGTTTGATGAAAAAAATCTCGAGGCACACCACCATTACAGCCCCGTGACGTCAGCGCGCAGCGTCGCGCCGGGAGGGACGCACGAAAGTGTAAGTTTCTATTTACAGTGTGCTCTCCCAAAGACCTTAACCGTGTAGGTATATGGCCACGAAAAGTAACAGTTGCATTAGCAGTCAGGTTACATTATTTTGACAAGCAGCCGAAGAAGTGAATCTTCCACAAAGTGGCCTGTAGAGGGATGTGTGCGTGTTTTGTTGCTGCAAAGATCAGGACACCCCCACTCCCCGCAAAAGTACTTGGTATTAGGCGCATTTTCATCGGGCTTTTCCTTGCAATGCACAACAAGAGGAGTGATGTAAAAGCGGGTCGGGGCCCGTGTCGGACTCGGGTTCACACGTTAAGTGTTGGCCACCCTGCCAGCACTTTGGATCGGCAAAAAATAACACGGGTTTTATTATTATTATTATTGCGCCTGCATTGACGTCAGCTCATGTCTGGGCGCTGGTGCGCGCAGGGCCGCGCTATCGACTGACCGCCGCGGAGCTGATAAGGGCGGGTTTTGTTGCAATTCCTCGGGTAGAGGAGGAGGAGGCCGGTCGGTGAGACGGCGAGCTCGGCACGTCGGGGAGCTCCGTAACTCGAGCCGAGCAGTCCAGCCGCAGCCAGAACTCACACGGCGAGCTCGGCTGGGTCCTAGCGCCTCCCGGGTTCCCAGCCGTGTAAATTGCTGCGGGAATTGCATCACGAGCGAGGGGGGAGGGAGGGGAGAGGAAGCACCCGGAGCTGCTGCAAAAAAGCATATCGTTTCATCAGAAAGAAGGAAACTCCATATAATAAACTGCAGGAGGGCTTAAGGCCGGACTGACTCACCCGAGGCGCTCGCCGCCGCCGCCCAGCCTCTCGCCGCCCGACTCGCCCGCCTCCCTCCCACGGAGGTAGGCTGGTGTGCCGTGGGAGGGAGGTGGGCGAGTCGGGCGGCGAGCACACGCGGGGCGGCGAGCGAGCTCCCTCCCACATCCCATCGCCGCTCGCTTCGGCCAGCCTACTGGGCTGTTGCAGGCGGAAGGCCTGCACATGCGCGAGGTTTTCGCGCCTTCCTCCAGTAGGCCGGCCGAAGCGAGCGGCGATGGGATGTGGGAGCTCGCTCGCTCGCCGCCCCGCGTGTGCTCGCCGCCGCCGCCCCGCCTCTCGCCGCCCGACTCGCCCGCCTCCCTCCCACGGAACACAAGGCAACGTTCCGCGGCACACTAGTGTGCCGCGGAACACCGGTTGGGAAACACTGGACTAGATGACCCATAGCGTCCCTTCCAACTCTTAAGGTTCTATGATTGCAACACAGGGAACTCAACATACATTCCACTGTCCAATTTGAAACCATACCAAACCCCGCTTAGCTTTGTAAACATGCAAGCAAGTTTTGCTGCACATAAAACGGAGAGAACAGTTATAACAACGGAACAAAATTTAAAAGATGAAAATCAAACTCGGCACATAGATTAAGTAGAGTTGTGACTGCTTCCTAAAGCCTAAAGGACTGCTTCCTGGTGCCTCGCTTAGCCTGCTTTGGGAAGGCAGCACGAGGGCCGAGGGGAGCATGTGATTTTGCCTTTGCTTCCGCCCACACAGTAGGTTCCCCTTAGGAGTACTTGTGAAGCCCACTTGGTATGAAAAGTTGGGCCGCTCCGATTTAGTCACCTAGGTTGCTTTTAAAGGTTTTGCTGGTTTCATCTGCATTTTTGATCCTTCTACGGATACTGATCTTATAATAATTTTGCAGCTTTTAGCTGTGTTTTATCCTACAAATCTTATAATGTACACTAAGGTTGCGGCCCTCCCTATGTCAGTGGGCTTCATCTCCCATTAGCCTCAGTCAATATGGCCAATGGTCAGGGATGATGGGAGCTGTACTGAGGGGGTTGGACTAGATGACCCTTGGGTTCCCTTCCAGCTCTACAATTCTATGATTCCTGCAGCATCTGAATGGCTACAGGCTCCCCATCCCTGGTATGCACCAACTGAAGGGCAATTCGATCCAGCAGCTTACTAATCTTTCTAAATCAATTAATGAAAACCTGGCTGGTTTTATGTGTGTATTATTGTAAATGCAGCTGATTTTGTGTGTGTCATTAGTAAATTTTCCAGATAAGAAATAAGATGGAAGCCTGCTAACTGGGGTTAAAAAAACAAAAACAGAATCTGAAGTTCTCTAATCACAAAAGCAGGCAGGCTGAGAATATGCTCCTATGAGAAGCAGTGATGGCCACCAACTCGGATGCTTTTAAAAGAATATTGGACAAATCTGTGGAGGATAATAAGACTATCTGTGGCTACTAGCCCTGTCAAGAGGCAATATGCCTTTGAATACCAGTCACTGGGGATCAGAAATGGGGAGCGTTGGGCTGTTGCTCTCAGATTCTGCTCTGCGGGCACTGAGGCATTGACAAAAGTGAGCCAGCAGTAAATCACACCAAGCAAATTGGAGTTAACTCTTTATTAGCAAAAACAGGATATGCACAGGAGTGTCCGGCCTAATGAGCAGAGCAACTGATCTCCTCCATGAAGCAGTGGCTGAGACTGAAGGGCTCCCCATGGCTGCCTAACTCCCCTCCTCTCCAGGGCCTTTTCCAAGCAACCGGAGACTGTGCCTGCATAAAGCTAACTGCCCCTCCGTCCTCTTCATGCCTCTCCTGGTTCTGGGAGAACAAGGGGGAAGGGAACTTGTTGCAGCAGGAAGGTGAGACATCCGTGACTCTTCACCAGCCAGAATACTCTCTCCTCCCACCCTCTGCTTCAGCTTCTGCCTCTGATTCTGGGCTGCTCTCTGCCACACACTCTCCCCGCTCACTAAGCCCTGTTACCCCTTCAGCTTCCGACACCTCTTCTCCCAAGTCTGCTCCTTCTTCTCCCTCATTGTTGTCCCAACACCATTCCACAGGCCCTGACCCTTCTTTCCTTGGGGGTTCCCCAGCTGGCCGACCTGTATGCTGGACTGCAGAGACCCCCTTTGGCATGATCCAGCATTGCTTGCGAGGGAAGAAAGTGAGGCAGACGGGAAGGTGGAACAATGACAAAAACCATAGACTGCAATCAATAAGGAGAAGGAACGGAACAGGATGGCAGTGGGAACCACCTGGTCAGACGAGAAAGTGTGGGGGACTGCAAAGTGTCGCTCAGTCACAGTTTTTCCTCTTCTGGCTCTGCTTCGAAGTGGCGCTGGGGTGTGTGACGGGAGCTGGCAGCGAGGTGGCTGGCGAATCTCCGGGACTCGGGTTCGTTAAGGGAGGGAAAGGCTCGAGGCTGGTGGAGGGACACAGGGGGCCTGGCGCTGGGTCAGGTCCCGGAGCCAAGTCTTGTGCCCCGGCAGGAACGTGCATCCCGGGTTTGTCAGGGGTGGGGGAAGGCAAGGGCATTGTGTTGCTCCCGGAGGCGCTGGCCCGCCTCTCCCCGGAGTTGGGAGCGGCCTGCTGGGCCGACCACGGAGGGCTGAACCCCGGAAAGAGGCTGGGAGAGGGGTATTTCGGGGCCGAAAAGGCCGTCGCAATGGCCTCCATGGCGGAGGTCTGCCTGCCCATGAGGTCAGCCAGGGTCTGGTGGGAGCGTTCGATGGCCGCGATCATGCGGTGAGTGGTGGCGCGGTCCTCCTCCCGCTCCTGCTTTTCCTGGCGCCTCTCCTGCCTGTCTTCAGCACGCTCCTCCTGCCGGGTGTTTTCGAAGGCCTGCAGGTCCTGCCGGTGCAGCTGCCGCAGTGCGTCCACAAGATCAGCGTTCGCCTTGGAGGAGGACGCCATCGCCGGGGAGGATGAGGGGTCCGCCGGCCGCCGGCCAGACTCCAATCGCTGGCGCCAGTTACGCTCCCGCCGGAAGCGCATGCGATCCACGTTGCCGGCGGTCGGCCTTCTTGGCTCCTCCGCAGCGCCTGAGGAGAGACAAAAAGAAGGAGAAGGAGTGAAGGAAATAAAACAGCCATCAGCCCTCGTCATAGAATCACAGACATTTGAGTCCTTAAGGAGAAGACACACGCAGACACAAAACACACATCTTATCTAATGTAACTATTGTGGATGAGAAAACTGGGGCAAGTTCAAGGTGTTGGCACTAAAATACCCAACACCAGGTTCCTCCACAGCAGGGCTGGGCAATTATCGGCTTTCCAACATCGTAATATGTCGCCAGCTAAACTTCATGATATGGCAGTTAATAATAATAATAATAATAATAATAATAATAATAATTTTATTATTGATACCCTCTTCCACCTGACTGGGTTTCCCCAGCCACTCTGAGCAGCTCACAGAATACATCAGAACACACCAAAACAGCAAACATTAAAAACTTCCCAATACAGGGCTGCCTTCAGGTATCTTCTATATCAGGGGTCAGCAACCTTTTTCAGCCATGGGCTTCAGCCTCAGACTGTGTGGGGGGCCGGACTATATTTTGAAGAAAAAATGAACCAATTCCTATGCCCCACAAATAACCCAGAGATGCATTTTAAATAAAAGGACACATTCTACTCATGTAGAAACACGCTGATTCCTGGTCCATCCGTGGGTTGGATTGAGAAGGCGATTGGGCTGCATCCGGCCCCCGGGCCTTAGGTTGCCTAGCCCTGTTCTAGATGTTACGTAGTTCTTTATCTCATAGAATCATAGAGTTAGAATAGACCACAAGGGCCATCGAGTCCAACCCCCTGCCAAGCAGGAAACACCATCACAGCACTCCTGACATATGGTTGTCAAGCCTCTGCTTAAAGACCTCCAAAGTAGGAGACTCCACCACACTCCTTGGCAGCAAATTCCACTGTCAAACAGCTCTTACTGTCAGGAAGTTCTTCCTAATGTTTAGGTGGAATCTTCTTTCTTGTAGTTTGGATCCATTGCTCCGTGTACGCTTGTCTGGAGCAGCAGAAAACAACCTTTCTCCCTCCTCTATGTGACATCCTTTTATATATTTGAACATGGCTATCATATCACCCCTTAACCTCCTCTTCTCCAGGCTAAACATGCCCAGCTCTTAGCCGTTCCTCATAAGGCATCGTTTCCAGGCCTTTGACCATTTTGGTTGCCCTCCTCTGGACACGTTCCAGTTTGTCAGTGTCCTTCTTGAACTGTGGTGCCCAGAACTGGACACAGTACTCCAGGTGAGGTCTGACCAGAGCAGAATACAGTGGCACTATTACCTCCCTTGATCTAGATGCTATACTCCTATTGATGAGACCCAGAATTGCATTGGCTTTTTTAGCTGCCGCATCACACTGTTGGCTCATGTCAAGTTTGTGGTCAACCAAGACTCCTAGATCCTTTTCACATGTACTGCTCTCAAGCCAGGTGTCCCCCATCTTGTATTTGTGCCTCTCATTTTTTTTGCCCAAGTGCAATACTTTACATTTCTCCCTGTTAAAATTCATCTTGTTTATTTTTGCCCAGTTCTCTAATCTGTCAAGGTCGTTTTGAAGTGTGATCCTGTCCTCTGGGGTGTTAGCCACCCCTCCCAGTTTGGTGTCATCTGCAAATTTGATCAGGATGCCCTTGAGTCCATCATCCAAGTCGTTGATAAAGATGTTGAATAAGACTGGGCCCAAGACAGAACCCTGTGGCACCCCACTAGTCACTCTTCTCCAGGATGAAGAGGAACCATTGATGAGCACCCCTTTGGGTTTGGTCAGTCAGCCAGTTACAAATCCACTGAGATCTCCTTGACATCTGAAGGGAGAGCATTCCACAGGGAGGGCGCTGCCAGCGAGAAGGCAGTTGCCGGTCATGGAGACGATTAGCGTCCCCCTGCGCAGTTTCCGCCTCTTCCTGGTCAGGCCGGGCGGGCAGCACTGCCCCTGGACGAGGGCAACAGCTGGCGCACTGCATGGCATAGCACCACGGAGCCGCTGGCCAACCCGTGACCACCAGAGGTGGCTTGCCCCAATGAGAGTCTCGCTGCGCAAGAGCCCCTGTTGCACTCAGTGTGATGAGGAACGTAGGGACGAGGTGGCCTGACAATGCTCACGTGGCCAGAGAAAGAAATGAAAGTCACTGGCTGGCAAGCAGGCAGGCCGGCCCACTCCTAATCTTAGCTAAAGCATCCATGAAAGGTGGCCATCCAACCTCTCCTTAAAAACCTCCAAGGAAGGAGAGTCCACTGCCTCTTGTGGGAGCTCATACCTGTTTATATTCAGTTGCTTTGATATAAGCTAATTGGCTGACTTTGATGCTAGGCTTGGAGCCCAGAAATGGGAGCTACCTGTAAGAGTTGGATTTTTGCCCCCTCTGACCTCATACTTCAAAGACAGAGGTCCTCTGGCTGGATCGGGACAACATGGGTTTGGGAGGCCAACTCCCATCTCTCGTGGGGGCTCAATTAGTGCCAGCGCCTTCTGTCAAGAGTTTGGGTGTAACCTTCGACGCCTCCCTTTCCATGGAGGCGCAAGTTGCAGCCACAGCAAAGGTGGCATTTTTCCATCTCTGCCGTATTAAGCAGTTGGTCCCTTACCTTTCCCGCCCCGACCTGGCCACAGTGATCCACGCAACGGTCACCTCCAGGCTTGACTACTGTAATTTGCTCTACGTGGGGCTGCCCTTGAAGCTGACCCAGAAACTCCAGCAGGTGCAGAATGCCACGGCGAGACTCCTTACGGGGTCCTTGCCGCAGGATCACATTCATCCAGTGCTTTACCAACTGCATTGGCTCCCGGTGGTGTACAGGGTCAGGTTTAAGGTGCTGGTTTTTACCTTTAAAGCCCTATGTGGCCTAGGACCCACGTACCTATGGGACCGCCTCTCCTGGTATGCCCCGCGGAGGACCTTAAGGTCCACAAATGACAACACCTTGGAGGTCCCAAGTTGCAAGGTGGTTAGATTGTTCTCAACTAGGGCCAGGGCCTTTTCAGTACTGGCCCCAACTTGGTGGAACGCTCTGTCACAAGAGACTAGGGCCCTGCGGGACTTGACATCTTTCTGCAGGGCCTGCAAGAAAGAGCTGTTCCGCCTGGCCTTTGGTTTGGACTCAGTCTGACCCTTATGTTTCCCTCCCCTTATGGTTTTGATCTATTGGCTACTTTTAAAATGAGGCTGCATTTTAAATTGCATTTTAACCAGTATTTTAATTTTGTTCCCCCCTATTATGTTTTTACTATAATTTTACTGGTGTTAGCCGCCCTGAGCCCGGCTCTGGCCGGGGCAGGCAGGGTATAAATAAAAATTATTATCATTATTATCATTAGTATTAGTATATTGGCAAGTGAAGCAATGGGAAGTCCTGGTCAAACAAACTGCTTTTTAGGTTTGGTCGTTTTCTATTTCACAATATAAATTTTCCGAAATAAATAAGCGAAACACAAGTGCTGCCTCCGACAGAGGAGGGAGAACGTCAGCATCGCACCTCACAGCCATTATACGCCACAAAAAATAAACTGTGCCCAAGCCACAAAGCGCCACTCACTTGACACCTGAGGTTCAGCAGGGTTCTCTGGGGAGGGCAAGGGGACACTACTGCCCCGCGGCGGCTCCTCTTTCCCCACGATCGGCACATCGTCGTCCTCGGACGGCTTTCGGGCCTGCCTGCCCAGTTCGGTGGCCGCCCCCCGGAGCTCTTTGGGAGGGGAGGCCTGTGGCAAGGGGATGACGTACTGCCGCTCGTTCGCGGCTGGCTCTGGGGCGGCGTTGGCTGCTTCCCTGGCGATCCTGGTGGCGGCCATGGGGTTGAGGGGCAGCCTCTTGCGCCGCTTGTCCAGCCGCTCCACCACGCCGGCCCCGCACACCTTCCCGCAGACGATGCCCTTGCGGAGGCAGAGGAACTGCTCCAGCAGCTTGAAGTAGGGGGCGGTCTTGGGCGCCCTCCCCGAGTGGAGGTTCCCGCACTTGATCTCCTTGTAGCCGCGCTTGAGGTCTTTGGCCCGGCTGCGGCACTGCTCGGCGTCCCGCTCAAAGCCCCGCTCGCGGAGGCGGTCGGCAATCCAGGCAAAGAGCTTCATGTTGCGGTACTGCTGGCCCAGGGCGATCTGGACGTCCTCCGCTTTCCAGATGTCAATGAAGGCGATGGTCTCCTTGCGGGACCAGGCGTCCCGCCGTCTCCTGGGCTCCGGGGAAGGGAGGTTCACATCCGGGGGGCTTGGGAGAGAATCCGCCAGGGAGAAAGGCTCTGCAGCCAGCTGAGAGCTCTCTGGGTCGGCCGTCATTTCCGCATGCTGCAAAGAAAAGAAAGGGGGAATGAAACTTTGGGCAAGTGCAGCTCAGTGGTTAGTTTATTTTTTTAAAAAAACACGAAACCAAACCCTTGCATCATATCATTGGCTCCCGGTACATTTCAGAGCAGAATTCAAAGTGTTGGTGCTGACCTTTAAAGCCCTAAATAGCTTTGGCCTCGCATGCCTGAAGGAACGTCTCCACTTGCCTTGGTTCTGCCCGGAAGAGCTTAGACTTGATATCCCACTTTATCACTACCCTAAGGAGTCTCAAAGGGGCTAACAATCTCCTTTCCCTTCCTCCCCCACAACAAACACTCTGTGAGGTGAGTGGGGCTGAGAGACTTCAAAGAAGTGTGACTAGCCCAAGGTCACCCAGCAGCTGCATGTGGAGGAGCGGAGACGCAAACCCAGTTCACCAGATTACGAGCCCACCGCTCTGAACCACTACACCACACTGGCTCTCCAGCTGACCTCCACACTGAGGTCCAGCTCCGGGGGCCTTCTGGCAGTTCCCTCAATGCAAGAAGCGAAGGTAACACGGAACCAGGCAGATGGCCTTCTCAGTAGTGGCGCCCGCCCTGTGGAATGCCCTCCCATCAGATGTCGAAGAAATAAACAACTACCTGACTTTTAGGAGACATCTGAAGGCAGCACTGTATAGGGAAGTTTTTAATGGTTGATGTCTTACTGTGTTTTAATTTATTGTAACCCAGTCAGAGGGGTATCATATAAAATCAAATGAAATGAAATAATAAAATAAAAATAATAAGCATCAGC